TAGTGCCATGTGTGTGCTGGTATTCGTCAAATGGCTGCACATTCCACCCATGTGGGTCAAGGGTGAAAGTAGCCGCAGCATGCATAGCGTGGCTTTGAGACTTACCTTTACTGTAGTTTGTGCCAGTCCCTTTACCCTTACCTTTGTTGAGCACAACTCCTCGCTCAGCAGAATCATAAAGTTGTTTGTTCGCTTTGCCCTTGCCCTTGGCTTTACCTTTATCAGATTCACCTTTGCCTTTGCCAGGATTTGCAATGGCGGGTTGCGGGGAAGAGCTGTCAACAGAAATTTCGGACTTTGCGACGGCTCCACCGCTGGAAGGGAGTGGCTTGGTTGAAACTCCCATTCTTTGGCCAGCAGCGGAGATGCATGAAAGAAGCTGTTTGGCATCTGTCGTTCTTTGAATTTTCTGCAAAAAACGATTGTCAGAAATCAATAACATTCTAATTTGTTAGCGTTTTGGGGTCCATTATACTATAACTATAATAAGGAACCTCCACAATACTATAGGTAATTATTTGGGCTTCTACAGTAACTTCGGTGAGGCAGGATGCCTGAACCTGTTCCACCACATGCCTCAAGCAAAAACCGCAGAAAATCCAAGACTTGGCTACAGCCGAAGGCATGGTAAGACCTCAGACTAGTTCAGTATCCTAGCCTAAAACGGGTTAACCTGTTAACCTTTTCAGTTATCGTATAGGGTTATATGACATATGAGCCCCAGAAGGTTGATTGTTGCCCATTCAGCCCGCAAAGAGAAAAGGACTTCAGACCAGTGGCATTCTCCGACTGCTTCATGGAGCAGTCAGTGATGAGCGGGTCCAGAAGCAGATGATGCAGTTTGGTCTCCTCCACATTGCTGGGTTTAGGGGTTTAAGGTGCAGGGTTTAAGGTTTTGGGGGGTTTTGGGGTTTAGGGTTTAGGGCTGCTTCTGTTGGGGTTCAAGGGTTCTCGGGAGACTTCTTAGCTCTTCCAGATTGTGGGGTTTCAGCCGATGCTTCCGAGCAGCAGGCCTTTCATGGCTCCAATGGTACGGGGTTTGGGACCGTAGGACAGTAGGACTGGCGGCATTCGGAGCCAGGTCCTTTGAGACAACTGCCAATGCAAATCAACGCTGACCGCACTCTTGCCTAGAGTCATACATAAGGTCGACCCAGAGAGTCTAATAACAACTTTGTGGTCAAGGGTTCTATGTTGGGACGATGCAAAGGCTTTGCATCGTAACCCTAAAGCAAAGTTTTCGGTTCTCTTAGAGTAGCTTTCAGGTTTAGGAAAGCTGCAAACTCATCCACTGCCATCGTTGGCCAAGGCTCAAAGGAGGTACCGTTTCCAAGGCGCACCTGCAGGCCGTGTCGGATGTACGGTACGGGTCTAGTGGGTTTAAGGGTATCGTCATGAGAATTTCTACTAGTACCTGTCATTATTACTCGTATGTTGTCTAGTATCATCTGTCCTCTTCTCCAACATGGACTTACGATGGGCATCGTGAACATTCGTCAACTAGTTTGTGGCTTGCGGCCCGTGGGAAGTGTTCAATCTTGGGTGGACAGGATTTGGGCCGCGTAAAAAGTGTGTTTAGACCGAGGAATCCTGAGGAATAACATGGAATAATGTTGGTAGCTATTTAGGCTTCTATATTGCCTCAGACCGACACTGCAAGGAGACGTCTGTCGACATGGAAATGCTTGAAGGTCTCCAGTTCGATGGCAGCACTGGGAGAGGACGGCCCTGGGTATCGAGTGCCGTAGTCAAGCAGCTGGAAGCCCTGGAAATATGACAATGACAGCATACTAAGAACACCAGCACTAATAATCACAATAACATTAGCAATGTTGATACGAATAGTACTGATGATAAACACAATTCAATAGCAATAACCCCCAAAATCTCTGTAAAACCCGTGACCAAACAAACACTTCCTGGCCTTCACCTTGCAATCCTTGCCGCCTGGGGGTCCTCAGGAGCCAGTGCTTCGGATCTCAGAGGAGAGAGCAATGGGGGAGGCCCGGGAATTGCAGCTTTGGGTCAGGTGCAGAGAGACTACATCCATGTACATATATGCATATGTAGATTTATAAACATTGCACAGACACAATCACACAAACGGAGAGAGAGGGAGAGAGCCAGCGATCGCGAGAGACACGTTGAAGCTGATAGCTAGACTCACACACGCGCACATAGACAGATAGTTGGCTAAATAGACCGCCGGATAGATAGATAACAGACCCTATGCTTCCAAGGACCTAATAGCTAGGGCCCCAAACCCCTTGAGGACCCAGTGATAAGGTACCTGGAAGCATAGAGAGATGTACCGAACCACTGGACTGGGTCGAGGAAGCTGGAGTCCAGCGGCGAGAGCAGATGCCGAAGCTGGTGTCCAGAGCAGCACATACTCTGGCCTAAGCGTTCCGCAAATATCGGCCCAACAGCTAGAATAGGGATTAGACTATGAGAAAACAACTACAAGGAACCACAAACTTGGTAAGGTAGCGTTCGGGGACTGCCCTGCCTAACATCGGAGCCTCAATAGTTCGACTAGGGTGACTAGGGCAAGTACTCTTAGTATAAGGGCTCTTTCAGGGAAACCCTCGATCAAGGCTTTGTGAAGGACTACCAGTCAGGATAGGGGTACCTCAGAAGCGAAAACCAAGGGCCTTTGGGGGTTTTTGCCCCTCAGTTCAAGTGGGGCTCCGTGCAGGGAACGGCTGAGAAGATGACACCATTCCCGCTGAATCTAGGATTTAGGTGTTCAGGGTTTAGGGTTTTAGGGTTGAGGGCAAAGATGCTCAACCAGATGTGTGAGGGAAACTGTCATAAAACTACATCGTGAGACAAAATGCTTGAACTGGAGTGCCGATGACCTGCATCCTCCTGAAACCCTCAAACCTCAACACCTTGATCCACCAAAATCCCAAAGCCCCATGCCCTAAACTCGTCAAGGGGCAAACGCTACTCGATCCCAAACCCCGGCTCGCAACAGTCGCACCCTTGTCGACCCAAGCTAAGTGCGACTCAGCCACAGGGCTTGCCTTGGAATGCCAACCGAAAGAGTTTGGTCTAGGGTTTACAGGCTGGGGTTTTGGGTTGAAGCTCCGGTAAAACTATCCGCTGCCCGATTTTGACACAAGCTGTGCAGAAAATGCCACGCAAAGAAACTTAAACCTTAAAGCCCGAGCCCAAACTAAAGTACTGTACCGCAAACTCCTCAACCCTGCAAGGACCTACAAAGCCCGTCCCGCAAGCTTAGAGACTCGAAATATCCATCATTCCCGCCAAAACCATGCAGAACCCTAGCCACCCTGCAAAAGACTAGTAAACAAGAATCTTCTGAAGCCAACAAAACCCCTATGATTGGGGCTTTCAGGCCAAGCAACAGTGCTGCCTCGAGTTCTCGTACCAGTCCAGCCTCCCGTGCCGTTTGTCGCAGCCATGGGGAGTTCACCCAAGTGGTAAACGTGAGAACTGAGTTCGGTGTTTCTGTGAGAACTGAGTTTGGTGTTTCTGTGCTAGACTCTGCTCACTGGGCTCAGTGATTGGTCTCAAGTATATCGGTCTTAAGACCGGGATGGTTTTGCGTTTGCCGTGTGTGGGAAGTGGACTCCTGGTGCAGCAAGACAAACCTTCCAACATGAACCCTAAGCTCCCATTTCCCCAGTTCTTATGAGTTTTCGTGCGAGCAAACTAGAACTCGTCCCAATGGATGCTGTGCAGGAAACCTGGATGTGCAAGGTAAGCCACATTCCGGGCAGATCTATGTCGTGTACAGATACTTCAACAAACAAGCAACTAAGTGCAAATGTGTATGTGCACTGATATACGTACATAAATACATGCTTACACATATTCGTAATATATATATATATACATATATATATATATATACATACAGATATATACAGATAGATACAGATACGAATGGATAGATCGATCGATATGTGTGAGTGAGTGTTCTCTAGTTACATGCATTTCATGTAGACATATTTACCTTTGTTTATACTTGCTTGCACGTATGCAGAATAGTGTGTGTGTGTACTTACTCATGTACAGATAAATATACCTATACCTACATGTATCATAAATATACCTATACCTATATGTATACACATATGTATACGTGTATATGTACACACTTGCATTTATGCATCTGCTCAGTCATGTGTAATTATAAGTTTTGCAGGTGGGCAAACCTCCCAGGGTCGGGGGCTCCAGGGTTTCTGCTTGCATCGGAGAGGCCTCCTCCTGGCCATCCCTTCCGGCAGTGCAGGCGTTCCTCGAAGGTTCAAAATTCAGGGTTTAGGGTTTGAAATCCTTGCCGCCCAATGGGAGGGAGCATTTTTCGCTATGTTTCGGAAGCTTGAATGCGCTTCGGTCCGCCCTAGTACGCTGCACGGCAAACCTGCAAAAGCTGTCTCAATTTTCGGCACTACGCATGTGCTTTACCCATTCGCGTGCATGTATGCGCGCATGCACATAGATGGAGAACGTTACGCATGCATGAGGGCATGTATGCATGTTTTCTTGTTTGAACATGTGCACGGGTTGCTTCATAAGATGCTTGCAGCTAAGGTGAATAATAAGAAGCACACAGGCGAGAATGCAGATGAACGTATGCACATGTATGGGCAGGACCGTTATCAAGCACATAGACCCACCGCCAACAGACAAACAACCTTGTGCTATCCGCAAGACCCTCAAACAGGTGCCAAGTGGCAGCACACTGGCGCAAGACAGACCATGTCGGATCCAAAAAAGGCGCAGACGCACGGTCCTCTTCGGCCCTCCAAGGAGTTGCGGCTTTTCGGGTTCAAGATTTCATGGCTCTTGTTCCAGCAAGGAGTACCGCATGTCGACGGCTTTCTTCTGAGGGTCGTAATTCGTAATTCTTTGGGATCTACACTAGGCTTATCCGACTGTACTGATTAGGGTCAGAGCAAATGACGCCCCGTTTCAAGCACCTTTTTCCGTCTGCCTGATCCGGTTCAGGGAAACAGCAAGCCATGTCAACGGGTGCGAGACTTACGCCTTAAGGCTCTACGTTTGAGGCGTTTTAGCAACTTCAGGGAGATCCGTGGTCCTGTCGCATCTGTGCAAAGAACCTTGACCTGATCGCCCAACGAAAACACTGTGTGAGGGTTGAACCTGATGTTGCTGGCGACATCAACTTTCGGAATCCAGAACTCGGCTCCTGCGATCTCAACCCTCACTCCGCTCGTCTGAATCTCCGCGATCTTTGCAAGCACGACATTCCCGCCTCGAAGATTTGTCAGCAGTTCTTGCAGTTGCGGCCCGGCACACAGCAAAGAGAGTCTTCCAAACAACATCGGGTCTTCCCGCGTAAACGAAGAGATCAATCCTTGCGCGCGTGGTGGCAAAAAGGTCCACTCACCATCCTGCCTGATGCCCGCGACAGTAACATTCAACTCATCTCCCACCCTGGGCAAGCCACCGTGCAGGCCAAGAGAGTGCAAAGGAATCCAACCCGGAAGCCCAGACTTGGCCAGGATATAAATGATTTCACCCCGAACCATCGTCACTTCAACCTGACATGTGCTGTCGCCTGCCTCAACCCTTTCATGGAGCTTATCCAGGGCTGCGTCGTGCTCCGGCTTCGATACCATGCGAGGATCAACAGCTTCGAAAACTATGGGGTAGTGGTGGCTCATCCTGGGATTGGCCACTTGGAAGAATCGTGGCCTCACATGGCTGATGATCACTGCGGCTGTGGATCCTGGCGTGCACTGGTAGTTGCCAAGACGTCTTGAAGGGATGATGCCAACGAGGCCCTCCTGAGTGCGTACGGCTGCGCCCCAAGGGCCCGTCTTTGTGACGGTGACTCGCGACACATCACGAAAGTTCTGAAGCAACTTGCAGAGGCGAGGGTCGAACTGAAAGCTATAGACGGCAAGGACAGTTTTTATGCGTGTTTTAACCACAACCGGCTCACGAGCAATCGCCTTGAACACCGTGCCAGCCTGGCCATAGTTTGCAGTTCCAGGCTTCTCGATTTTTCCAGCGGTGGCCCCTTTTCGGTTCCTTCTTGGGCACTCGTGCCAGATCTTGCAGCTCTTGGTGGGGTCAACATGCCCTCGCGACTCTTCTGCGATGATGCCGTGGATTGGAGTTCCGACAGGTATGAGTGCGTCAGTGACCATTCTGGCGATGCACCCGTAGTCGCGGCAAAACTTCAGAAGTGCGAGGTTGTACTTGAAAGCTTCCTCTTCTTCATATCGCAGCTGGAGCCGCTGTGCCAGAACGCTAGCCGGTGGAGACGGATCCTCACTTCCAGAACGTCGCAACAATCCATCGAGCCTTCGACGGCGAGCGAAGGAAGCGCTGAACACGCTGCTGGAGGGGGTCAGCAGTGCGATGCCGACTATGGTCAAAAACAGTTTTCCCGAATGGGGATGCAGAGCCACTCGCTTGGAGATGGCCATGACCACGAGAAGTGGGAAGAACTGAAGGACACGCTGTTTACCACGCCTACTGCCCGTTGCAAAGATGCAGCGGATGTAGATGTTCCAAGGGTTTGCAGTGCATGCTCGAAAGCTGGGATGTTCGTTCTACTCTTACAAGTAGCTGCCTCAGCCTTTCCGTGCTGATATCCCGCATGCTATGTTTTAACCGGCTGTGATGATGCTGGGCAATGGGGTGCCATGTTGCTTGAAAACAGTACCGACGGGGTTTGAAGGGTTCCGATGCGAGGACTGACGCGACACACTTTTCTGCTTTGGGCCCGACAACAAAATACCAAACTATTTCACAATTGCATGGACTGCCGTATTCAACACACAAGAAAACATCCCACATTGAACCGGATATACTGGGGTCTTGGGCCTTTGAGAAGGATTTGACAGGCTGTCGTGAATGCTTTGCTTCGGTCTTAATGCCATTATCCCACATGTACATTTGTGGCACATGTGTATATACATATATACATATGTGTGTCTGCGTCGGCATGTATGTATGTGTGTACATACATATACACACCTATTGAAAAGGCAGAAAGCCAAATGATATGAGAGCAGAAAGCTGCAACACAACCAAAATCAAACGAGGCTAAACCTTGAACTCTCCATCTCAACGTCTGGCATTAAGACTGTCACTGCTCCAGCGGGTGCAGCCTGCGGGCTAACTATCTGGGATTCCGTGTCTCGCCCGATGAGACAACTACCTCCCTTTTGCTGACAACCCTCGTGCAGAGCACTTCGCGCAGGTGCTTCCAACGCGAAAGCGGGCTTGAATCTAGAAGCCCACACTTATAAGGTTCAAGGTTTAGCGCCGCAAGCTAGAGGGTGTTCGGACTGTACTTCAGACAATATACAGCAGGCAAACAGGAAGAAATGTTGGAGACACCGATACGCAAATCTGTCAAACTGGCCTGGCCAGGCGCAGGAGGCGTACCTTGACCAGATCATGGCAGTCTAAGCTACCGTGTATTCGGGTTTTTCTCCCACTTCGCAGGATGTATAATCAGTATACAGCATAGTGTATCTGGAGGCTGACAAAAAACTGTAAGAGACGTTCCAAACCGCGCCTCTTTCCACTGTCCATCTCTGAAGGCCTACAGTACTACTCCAACATAGAGGTCCATTAAGAGAAATCTCGGGTCCTGATTGCGACAACTTGGGTACTGCCCCATACAGTAACCGTCTATAACAAGGCTACTATGAAGGGCCTTAGGGGCCTTATATATCTATAATATAAGTATTATCCAACTGTTAGCGAGTGGGGGCAGTACTCAAGCGATAACGTGTTCCAGGAAAGAGAGTCCGTGCTGCGGTTAAATGTTGGCACGGGCGCCAGGCAAGATGGCACTTAGGTGCCAAGGGCGGTACTTGCCTGCTCGATATGGCCCAAGGCTCCATTTACCCTTGTAGTAGATACTTAGGCATGAAAGGGGTTCCTATAAGGATACTTTAAGGCCTAAGTATCTACTATAAGGATACATGGAGAGTTAGGGTGGTTGCCGGTTGCCCTTATTCCAAGAAAACCTTGTGCAGATCAGCACCGTCTCCTGATCCAGATTAAGGCAGCTCGACATCTTGGGCATGCGAAGTTGCTTCCGGGCTTTCTTATGGCTGAGATCATCCAAGCGAGGGTCTATACCGATGGATCCTGGCTTGCCTCCTTCCGGAGGTCCTTCCATTGTTGATCGAGGGACGCTGCCATGGAGCCCAGCGCCATCGCCGCCGCTGCCTATATGCCATGATGCCAGTGAACAGTACTGAGCGTGCCGTGACGTAAATCTCCTCCGCTACACATAAAACTATCAGTTTCAACGGTATCTATGTAGATGTAAGTATAGAGTCTGATATATAGAACAATACCATACGTCGCCATGCTTTTTGAAGATTCTTCAGGAGCATCTCAACCCTTCAAGACCACGTGGAAGCCCCGGTCCCCGTGGGCGAACCGTCCAGACAGCGCCGCCGCATCGCCGCCGCTCCGCAGTGAGAAGGGGCTTACGCACGTTGACATGCGATCGGCCAAACATCCGGAGGTTGCAGCGGTTTAGGGTTTAGGGCAGCTTGTGTTTTTTCTGTTAAGCTTCGGGATAGGAGGGGATCAGGGGTTAAAGCTTCTGGTGTATAGGGGTTCAGCGTGGATTGTTTGGGTTCGTTTGGGTTTAGGCGATTTAGCTTTATATAGGCCTCGATATTGAATTGTGTTTGGCTATCTTGTTTCCTTATTCGGATCGTCTCCATACCTTTTGGTTGAAACTATATTGGAGGGTAGGCGCCTAAGTCTTTCACAGCTTCGTAGCACGCTGCCCATGGTGACAACATCTTGGACGGCTTTCCAGACCAAATGAAGTGATTTCTTGCACAGTCATGGATTCCAAAAGAGGGTTTGTATAAAACTCGCTGGAAGTGATTTGATCAGAACTTGTCAGGATGAGGTACTGGGGGTCGAGACGAAAACCTTCAACCCTGAGTCAACCTTGAAGATTGAATCGCAAAAAATCGAGAACGCACCCAGTTGACTCCCTAGTTCAGAGTTTGCATATATTCTGTTTCAAGCTTGAGGGTTTTGGACTCGCAAGGCTTTCCGGACGAGGGTGCTGGAGGGCTTTGGGGTGTATATTGGCATGAGGGTTGTCCAGGGACTGTATAAAGGGGTATCCTTGCAAAGCTCTTCTCACCCTGCGCCGTTATCGCGCTTTTGTTGTCACGCTGGCCGAGAAGAACACGTGCTGCTAACCTTAGATGTCAAGCTTTTTGAGTCGAGGGTCCCATCCCGTGGGCTCTGACGGAAGCATGTGGGGGCTTCCAAACATTGGGGACCCTAATAAAGTACCCTAAATAGTAGGATCCTCATTAACAGTATCAGGATCCCAAGAAAGGTAGCCCTAGTTCTCGGAAACTCCCTACTTATGCAAAAATCCTGCAAACCTCTTGCTACAGAACCCTGTGAACCCAAAAACGCCTATCCAAAGGGGCGTTGTGGGCTTCAGGAAGCTCTTTGCATGGCCGTGCAGGGTACGGGTGCGGGTTGGTAAAGGGCTTTGCAACGGCTACGTTTAGAGTGCTCACGGTCGACGATTTCAGAGCCCCCGCATCGCTATTGATCGATTCCCATGCCCGGACTCCGGACCCGACCAAGACCTCGTGGAGACAGCTCTTCATGGCGGCTGGTCAGGGCGACGGCATGTATGGTACGCGAAGACATCTCACTTTGGGCAGTCACCCCTGGCTGAAAACGCTTCAAGCGTAGCAGCTCAGTCCAACGACTGAAAATGTGACCTCGAACATACAATGCCCTTGAACCCTCTGTGGCCAGTGACGGCCTACCGCGAGTCGTCTGCGGATTGCGAGTCGTCGCGATCCTCGGTGCTTGTCCGTGCCTAATTTGACCGGGGCCGAAGGCGATGAAGACGACGATACACCAGAGGTCGTTGATGATGACAGTGGTAGTGCTGAAGTTGACAGCGCACATTGTTGTGACAACGCTGACGGCGAGCATGATGATGGTGATGAAGATAATGATGGTGATGCTGGTGATCATGATTTTTACTGGCGGAGATGGCAGCGATAGCGAAGATTGCGAGGCTGATGTTGATGACAATAATTGCTCCATGTAGTTCATCAGAAGTGATGACGATGAGGTCATCATCATCATCATAATCGTCATCATCATCATCACCATCAATAAATGAGGGTGATGCATGCTGTGCTATGACAATGGAGAATCGATTCTCATGGCTATGACGAGTGATGCTGGGTCTGATTCTGACGGTCGCTGGCTATTGCGCCTGACTTCCGTGTTGACATTGTTTTCCGGACAACTCTTGCCGGCTGTGCTGCTTCTCTTCTCTGTTATTGCAGTTGGTGGTGTTGTTGTCATTGTGCTATGTCCAACCATGTTTAGAACAGCCACCGCGCGAAGCCCTGGACCAACACTTCGTGACCCGTTTGCGCGAGGTCTCCTTTGGGATTGGGTCCTCAACGCTCTGATCAACCAGACCTTATGTCATCCAGTATCTTAATGAAAATAAAGTACAATGGGCGCCAAACCCCTAATTGTTGAGACCCCTAATTGTTGAGACGTCTACATTGGCCCACTGTCCTACAATCCTGCAAAACCTTTCTTGTAAGCTCGATTCTTGCCTGGAGTCGTCTCTTCGGTTTCCTCCTCGCCCACCTTCGGAGGACATGATGTGCTGGCTGTGTGGCTTCGCTGTGATCACGCTCCTGCATACCGCTCTTCGAAAGAGTCGGCATCCGCTTCGAAGCCATCAAGACCAGCAGGAAACCCTTAAAGCCCTAAACCCTAAACCCCAAACCCAGCTAAAACTCAACAAAATGCTTCGGCCCGGACCTGGCAGGTAGAATGTGTGGATGCGAAGACAATATCAACATCAAGAAGTCTTGGCAGTCTTAAGATTCGGGAAGTTGAAGCAGAGTGGTTCGGGGCTTGGGGTGTGGTTTCGGGTCTTAGCGGCTTTAGAGGAGATGGTTACCTGGTTTTGGCTTTGGGGGTTGAGGGTTTAGGGCAAGACAATACAGTCTGACGCCACAACAGCTCACATGAAACAAGCTAACCAGCAAGAGAAGTCCTATCCTAATTTCTGAAACCTCCACTCCAACCACTACATTCTACATCCTAGACATCAGACTCCAAAACCCTAGACTCTAAACCCCTGGAGCAGAAATCGTCTGCATGCAGGCACCCCGAAGCCCACCCTAAGTTTCTTGATTACTAGAATATGGCTCTGGGGTAAGCCATTTTGCGACGAGATCGGATATGCTTGCGAATTTATTCCCGAAGCCCCTTAGAGAACCAGGACACTTACAGAAATCTACTGAATGTAATGAAGGAACACCAAAAAAGCAAATTCCTATGTGATGCTCTGTGCACCTCGGGGGCCATTGCCCGTGCGGGACTCGATGGAACGCAGGAAGCCCATGACCTTCAAGACATACAAAGCTGGTAATGTGAGCTCTATGACTACATTAAAGGTTCCAGAACAGTGCCGGAATCAATGAGCCTGCAAGGGCAAGCAAGCATGTGAGCAGCTTTCACTATGATGATCACAGTATGACAGCTGCGAGCAAACACGAAGGGCGAGCATGTCAAAACCGTCTCCTGATGCCTGCACCTTGCATGATCAGTGGTTGTGCTGAAGAGGTCAACATGCGTGAGACCCGTTCATTTCTACGAAATGAACTTGTCGCAACTCTCCGGGCACCTGCACCCTAAGGGAACCAACATGTCCTTATCCTAAGCGCCCCCCGCAGCACTGAGCTCATGGCGAGAGCGGAATAGTCATCTTCGCCCTGCAGCCAGGCCGTTGAGAATTGAGTTGAGGCTTAAGCCAGCTACCAGAAACTTTGAGGAAATCGCCTTTCCCGTGAAGAAAAAACATGTTTCAAGAAACACACTTGCTGATGTGCACATTTGCACCAGCTTGCGTGCAGATTGCCGGGACTTGCCGTGTAGCCGCCTACGGCCTTGTTGCTTCCACTGGTCGCACGTGCAACCTCTATGCTCCGCAGATCCGTGCACTTCTCTACCTCTCTCTATGCTAGCTGAATAAATATGTCAGTTTGCCAAGAGGCTAGATGGATTGATTTTGCCAGGAAGCTCAACAAAAGCAAAATCGAACGCACCCCCTGTGATGGGAGTTAGGTTCACAACAAGAGGACAGAAAAAAAGGGCAATAATAGAAGCCATCAGTAGTGGGATCCTCATTCGAACAATGTCTGAAGGCAGCTGCATCTCTCGATACTCGAGCCCAGAATCACCGGGACAAGAGCCAATGTCGCTGAAAACCCAGGGCAATGTGTAAGTACACCTACATCGAGAGATCGTCGCATGCAGATCCCCATTCGTATGGCCTAATCCACACACCCACAAGCCTCTAACCTCAGTACTTGCCAAGGGCAGCGACAAGACCCTGCTACTTCGTATCCTCTCACAGTCCCAATATACCCCCCAGGCCCCAACCCCGTATTAAACCCTGTGGAAACTCAGGAACGTCCTGAGTGTTCGGGTTCTCGAGATTTATCCGATGCCATGGTATACGTCGTCTTAGCCAGAAGTCGAGGCAATACAGCTCAAGTCAGGCAGGAGGTCCATGGGCTGACAACGGATTGTTTCACTCACGCACTGCGAACATGCTGCCGTCCTCAGGACTGGATGCTATCGCCTAACGCGGAAGCTTAACATGTTTGTCGCATCTATACATGACTTCACATGTCTGTGAGAGCTCAGCTCTCATGAGAACGAGCCGTCATGGCTCTGCGGAGCAGCATTGGCCTCAAGGGGCTTCAACACTCCTCCTCAGCTGCATCGTTCCTTGGGAACGGAAAGCTGTTACGATCTCCCGTCCCGCAGAGCCTGTAAGCAATACCGGCAAAAGGTCCTATCCTGAAGTCCCGTAGAGTTAAGCAAGGCGTGGCAGGAGCGGAAGAGATGCAGGGCTCCAGATGATCTCGAAGTAGTTAATGCATGGAGCTCGCATAGTTCTTCAAATGTGAAACCTCTATCAAAGTTTGTTTGGGTGGATGCATCCTTCTTGCCTAAATCCGAAACCTCATAACCACTATCAAGGAAGGAGGAACGGGTCCCGAGCGCCACAGAATCTGAAGGTGGCGGTGGATCGGCAAAGGGAAGTCCAGAAAATCCATCAAATCCACTAAGTCCACTGGACGGAGCAGGAATGGAAACAGAAGATGCAGGCGGCAACGGTGGAGGTGGTGGAGGATCCAAGCCTGTAAGTCCAGCCTGGGCCTCAACTTGGACTCGCAAGCCCGGCGCAGTCACACGTAGAGACTGGATGGCTTCTGACTCGGAAGGCTGAGAGATCCTACGCCTTAGGCCCTCTTCACCTAGCTCCCTAGCTATCGCACGCCTAACTGTTTCCTGCCTTCGCTCCCTACGGACCTGGCGATCATCATCGTCATCATCAGCAGACACCATTCTCACTGCAGGATCAGCTGTTCAGCGTTCACAACAAGACTTCAAGCAGTATCTAGCTGACTCCCAGATAAACAACACCGAAAGGACCATTAGGACTACAACCAGGGACAACTCCAGGCTAAGAGGCTCATTCTCAACCTGCTCCACTGGTGTACCCTCTCCAACGACCGCTTGAATTATCAGTGCCATCACTAGAAGCCACAACCCCAGCCTATCCCTATCAATCGCACGTTGACCAACGATGTACCCCGGAGCACTCCTGGCACCATTCGTGAAACTCGTGGTCGATGCTTCCTGGACACAATGGTTTTGCGGGGTAACTGCGGAAACCTTAGCTATGGAGGGAGCTCGGGGGAAACCTAAACCCAAAAGCTTACAGAGGTCTTCCAGTCGAGACTTCAACAGATCCTTGGTAAGGCAGTCTGCTAACTGGATATCCCCCGGACAGTGGGCAACATTTATCTCACCCCGATCTATCATGTCCCTAATAAAGGCTGATCTCACTCTCAGGTGACGTGTCCTCTGGCTCCCTTCACCGCCGGCCAAAGTCACAGCGGCCGTGTTGTCAATCATCAGATGCTTAGCACAAGACGACTCTTCTAGCTCGCAGATGAAGGCATCCAGCGACTGAGCCAACACAACGCCCTCGCATCCTGAAACAAGTTCCGATTCCGCAGTGCTCAATGTGACTATGCTCTGCCTCTTCGACTTCACACAACGCAATACTTATCGTACTGCAGTATGATAGCACTAATCGAGTGGCTTCCATGTGGTGCAAAAGAGGCATCAGTGTAGATGCGTAGCCCATCTGCCTTCCCAGGAATCAAGTGAGCCTAAAAGACTTAGTGTTGCCCAAAAACTCAAGCACCCTTGCTCCCATCTTCGAAACCTGTCTTGGATACTTTGCAACCCAGCTGGCCATGAGCCCTACACAAAACCCGATGTCAACTCTCGATCTCTGCGCTAGCCACAGCAGTTCGCCCGTAATGCGTTGGGAGCCCCTTAGCTCAGCTTCCGTGAAGTCCTCATCAGGAGGGACTTCGCGAACCCACTCCTTCGAAATGGGAGCGGTTGCTCGAGGGTTCTCCTTCACCTCGTGGCTTCTCAGAAGCTCTGCGATGTACGACTCCTGGCCCAGGCTGTAGCCAATCACTTGGTTTTCTTCGTCAAGCTCGGCAAAGATGTCTACCCCCAGGAAACGCAGCGGGTCCGTGGCCGTAGCCTCCTTCAACCCAGTACATTCCCAGGATTGTCGCAACCACTCAATGAATGACTGCGCAACAGTTGGCTCCGTCAACAACAACATATCATCCACGTAAACCAACAGGTGACCAATGCACTGCCCTGACTCATGCTCTCAGATGACAGCTGCTCCAGGGTGATCCGTCCCAGCTCCGTGTCCCAACTTGCCTTCGCCAGAAAACTATCTCGGAAGAGTGACCACCAACGTGGGCTTTCTCTAAATCCATAGAGAGCCCTGTCTATGATCCACACCTCGTCCTCCCGTGCAAGCTGAAGGTCAATCAAAATACGGGGAGGGCGCATCGCATAGCGTTTTGTGACACCATCTGGAATCGAGGCTAGGAGAAAGGCAGATTTCACATCAAGTCCATAAGCTCGACGACCACGACGGGCTGAGTGCACCAATAATGCCCTCAAGCACTCTGCGCCGGCTCCGCCGGCGTAAAATGGGGACTCAGCTGTGGTCTTCGCGTAATTTCCACATGACACAATTCTGAACTTTCTTTTAAAAGGCTCACCAGGTTTCACCGTACATACAGGCTTTCCGGGAATAACCTCGTAATTCGGATCTCTCAGAATTGCACGGGCCTCACCACCGTAGAACTTACGTATAACGCTCATGCTCTCGAAGGTATCAAGTTCGGCCTTCGCCGCTGGGCGCCACTTTGCCAAATTCTGACGGACTTCGGTAGGCGATACATTGTGTGTCACCTCCAATGGACCCTGCAGGTTGGCCAGCAGATCCTCGATATTTGGAGTAAACGCCCCTTCATCGACTTTCCTCACAGCGGCTGTTCCACTCGCCGACGCACTTCTTGCGTTCAACCCTGCTAATGGATTCGCCGTGGGAACCTGTGTCGTGGGACCTAAACCCTCGCAAAAATCGAGCGGTGAATTGCGCCCTTGTGCACCTGACCCAGAACTCCCCGCTTGACCAGTGGTGACACCTAGACGCACTGCCCTGCAACTATGGTTCTCAGGAGGCTGTGAAGGGAGGGTCTGCATCTATCTCCTCCGGGACTAAACCATTATCTAAGCTCTGGGACCTAGACCCTGAAGTCTCGTCGGGAGGTTCCTGGTCAGACTGGATGACTGGTGCCTGGTGGCTGGATGTAGCTCCTGCACTAGGAACCCACTCTTCATCGCCCCACATCTCTTGCATGTACATAACATGATTGTAAGAACCATACCCAACCGTCAACCCTCCTTCCTCTTGGCACAACACTGTGGCCTCCGGCGCAGAAGGCTGTGAAGGGAATGACTCCGTTGGGTCTGCATCCCACATCTCCTCAGGAACATCCCATGGCCGCCTTGACTCAACCTGCTTCTGTGCACCCGAACCCTTGCGGCGTGAATCAGGCTGCTTTATTCCCAAATTAGGTAGCGGAGGTCCCGGACAGCGAACATCAAGGGTACGATTCTGGAACACCCACGGGATTTGTCTATTGGCCTTATCATAAACTCGAACCTCCCCGGTAGTTAGGCTGGAGTTCTGAGGATTGTCTGGTCTACGCGTTCCCGGCGGATGTATCCCTGACATAATCCTACAGGCTAGCCACTCAGGAAATCCAAATTCAACCAAGTCCTCAATGAACAAAAACTGCAGATCATTCGGCACTTCGGTCCCAAGGGTTCTCAGCCGGGCAAACGCATCCCCTGCATCACGGGCACGTAAATAATCTGTCAACTCGACATCCTCCAACGCTGCATGCGGTGCATCGCCTGGATTACCACCACTAAAATCCCATCCGATCAAAGCTGTGCTCATGTCTGGTTGCAAGTCCTCCGACAACAGAACTGGCTGCAACAGGGGCGCAGATTGGGCCTGCATGGTTGGCTCCTCATTAGATGCGGCTTCGATCTGGCGTCGGAGCTCATCCGAGTCAATGCTAGACTCTGAGGAGTCCTCTGAGCTTGATACCCCCAGCGATTTAACCTGAGCCTCCTGAGTCTGGGCTGCCTTCGCACATGCTGCACGACTAGGGTTAGCCTCTTCACCTATTGACCCTAGCTCAACCGGAAACTCAACTGACTCCAGGCATACCACATCCCTTGGATTCAACTTGCAAGCTCCTAAAGGAGTGTAGCCCACTATCAACCAGTTAGGAAGCATTCTCACGGCGTGATGTAGTCGAGGATTAAAGGAGACTGGTGTTTCTGCAAGCACCTGTGTTTCCCCCGGGACCCAAGTTGGGTCCGGAACAACAGCTCCCCTTGTTCCCGCATGCTCTTCAGGCTCAACCCACAGCTGAACTTCGCCTGGAACGTGCATGGCATAGTTGAACGTTCCCCACTCATTTCTCCAATCACGGTGGACCTCAGCCTCAACATCACAGGCCCGCATCAGCATCAGCGCTGACCAGGTTGGCCTTACGCCCTCAGGGTGATTACTCACGCGGGAGGCCAATGCACGATTCAAGAATCTAGTAGTCCAGGGTTTCCTCTTGGTCAAATTGGTGACCCCTCTCAAACCCCCATGGCAGTAGGCCCCAAAAATGTACCTATCATCAGTAATCCCCCTTCTATCACCAGTGCTCTGCTCCTCCTGAGCAATGGCCCTCAGCACCTCACGGATCCCACTCATGCTGAGATCTTGGGAAACTAAGAACTCATGCGCTACCTCTTCGGACGCAGGAGTGTCTAAGGATTCTACAAACCGCACAGACGTTTTGTCCCTTAGCCTCCGGAGTGGGCCTCCGGATTCACTAACCAAACTGTCAAGGGGCTCCCCAGTATCCTCCTCCTGAAGCACCGGCAACTGCAGACTATCACCAAGTTGCCTGCCTCAGTTATCAGGACGTGTCCCTCTGGGATAGATCGATGCGGGGCTGCGTATCTTGCCTCGATCCAACGCTCCATCAACTGTTTGGTTCCATCTGCCGGTCGCTTCACACGATGCAAGACCCGTTGCCCAAAGGCTGGAAGATCAGGCTCTCCCATAATGATCCTGTTATGCTTAGCAACCGCCCATCGTGCTGCTAAAGGCCACCATGCTACTCCAAGGCTCGCCCCACTTAGCAATGTCCGAATGCGAGACTTAACCCAGCCGACAGTACCTTCGGAGAGGCCATTGCCCCTCTTATCGGTGGGTAGAGAGTGTTGGACTCTCACCCCGTGGCTAGCCAACCAGCGGCGGTTGACCCGAATTCAGTCCCAGGATCATGATGGATGCTACGCACTGGGAACCTTTGGTTTATCTGCAAGATCATCTGCTGAAGGGCTTCCGCAACTTCCACACCTGATTTAGTGCGCAGTGGGATGAAATACCGTAAAACCACCTGGTCAACCGGCTCACTCAATTCTTCGATCAAGCGTTCCATTCCCTCCTTATCCTTAGGAAGATCTACGGGATCCCAAACAGAGGCCTTAGCGTCCTCTGCCGAAGCTGCACTCACCTTGGGCAATGGATTTGACTCCTCCTGCGACTGTTGACTCGCCTCCATGACTGGACCAAACAGTTCTGGGAACAGCTCCCCACCCGGATCTGAAGGTTCATACTCCGCCAGCTCATTTTCGCCATCGGGCAATTCAGAACTACCTCCACTGAACAAGTCCTTCACCCCATCCGGCTTATGAGGCTTATCTGGGTCCTGAATTAAGGACCGGGGTACTCTAAAGGCACCGACAAGTCCGTAGCGCAGAAGTGTTTTCCCTGTGATGCAACCTTCATCCCTTCCTGCCTCATGTGGAGGCACTGGGCCAAAAAGGTCTACCGATAACGCGAAGGAGCGTGGATGGCGGATTCGTCTATGGAAAGGGCCTAACCCTGCTCCCTCTATACATTGCTTACAATCTCTTCTATAAGGGAGGTGGCCGTTGAGCAGATGTTGGCGCCACCTTTCGGCTTCGGCCTCAGAGATGCTTGCAGAGACGCATCCTCAGGTGGGCGGTCACAACCCTGAACTCCCCTTACACACTCAGGCTCCATACCTTCACCGGAAGTGTCATTTCTTAACGTATCCGGTGCCACCACTTCATCAGGTTCCCCCTCGGAGTCTGAATCAACGATACTCTCAGCCTCAAAGGCCCTCAAAAGAGCTTCCGTTTCTAGCTCATAGGCCGTGGGATTATCGAGACCAGCTGATTGGGTCGCGGATAGCAACTCACGAGTTGAGCCCCGTGCGGCCTGAGCCGAAGAAGAACCTCCCGAATTCATGCCTTCCGCTATCATTCGATCCAGCTGCTCACAGGATGGGCCTGAAAGGGGGTTCCCGATAAGGCCTTCACGATTTCACACCTTAATTGATGGGTCCACACCCGCCCCTGGGGCGGAGTCGCATGAATTCCCTTCGGACTGAGGGTGCTCAAGTAATGCAAGTCCAGGTTGGTCACAAGGTCCGTTGGACGAAGATACTTATCCCCCAAGGAACCCTGATTCAAGCAAACCGTATGCATTTTCGACCAAGCATTGAAACCTTGGCGATTACTCTGAAGGAGACCATGGTGCTCTGCCACGTACGGAATCCCACAACCTCTCACAACTGAAGCCAAGGACCAAAGTATCATCCCCTGGGCCACAATTCGTCGAACATTATCAGTGTCAGCGGCAGGCGGGGAAACCAACACGGTGGCAATCCTACCTTGGGCGGCTGCCCACATCAGGACCTTCCAAACGCCATCCCTTTTCGCTAGATCCCAACCCTTACCTCCTACTTGCTGAGGATCTACTCGCAGAAATGGCATCCCCCTTTCCCTTGCCCAGACAGGCAAAGGATCAAGTGCACGGTCCTTCCCACTGCAAAGATGAACTACCCACTGGGAGGAATCCAACAAGGATCGGCGGGCAGATCGCTTCAAGGGGAGGAGCTTCAGGAGGGCCTTATCTGAACCTGGTGTATCAATTGGGACCTGCTCGGCAAGGCTCACCTTTAGATCCTCAGGAAATCCGAGGTGGGGTTGGACAAGAAAGGCCCTCAAGGCGTCTAGTCGATCTCCAGTCCTTGCAAATCGGAGCATGGACTCAGTCGGCTCGATCGGCTTGTCGTAGGCTTCCAGATGACACTCAAGGTTCTGAACCCTCTGCTTAAAGCCTTCCAACCTCTGATCCTCAAGTTCCGAAATCAAGCGAAGCGCCTGGTCTTCGGCAACATACGGACACGTGTTATCCGAGATGCGGGTGGTGAGAACACCAAGGGTCGGATGGACCACACGGAGACCCTTCCGCTTTGACCAATGAACTTGGCAGTTCAACGACTCCACTAGGGCTCCCAATGGAAGGATTGTCTGGACAGGTCTGCCTGCGGGGGCCAGTGGATCGGGGGGCACAACAAGAGTCCCTCCCTGGGTTCTCAGCCATTCTTGTTTCTCATCTCCTGCCAACGTGACAGGTACCTTTTCCAGATTCCGAAGACGCTCATGGAAAGGGATTACAGCGTGAGTCGCGCCACTATCCAAGAGTGCAACCCCACTATCTGACTCCTTACCCTCGCCTAAGGCTCGGACTTCAAAACCCTTCACCCGCTGAGCAAGGGACCTAATTTCCCTTCCCAAGGCTTCCAAAGACACGCCTGCAACCGGTGCCTGGCCTAAGTCACTTTTAACCTGATTAGCACTTTGATCATCATGAAGCGGGACACTACAGGTCTTGACCTCTGGGTCCCGAGTCATCGCACGGAGGATATCAAGTTGAGCACTTAGGGAGGCTAAGGTCACTGGGGTCCCCTGGACCGTAGCCGAGGGGTGTGCCTTAGGAGGCGGACTTGCAACGTGGGCCTGGACCGGATTCGCCTGATTCCCACTCGACAGAGTCTCTACCGGGATTGCGGCTGCCGGGGGCATGGCCTCTTGCAACATACGGGCAGCATCAGCTAACATACTCTTGATTTGTTGATTAGCCTCGGTAGCAGCTGGTGGTGGAGGCGGAATGGGAGTCGCAGTGGACCCAGGTCTCTGCGGTGGGCCCTTAGCCTTGCTCTTGGCCTTAGCATCTTCAGACCTCGGTCCCGCCCTGCAGTCCGCTGACTTATGCGTTTTCCCTCCGCACACCTTGCACCTTGCAGCCTTTTCCGAAGCCGAGAAACTATTCCAATCATGTTCATACGTACAATCAGCACCCTTCTCACAACCGTTATGCCCAGAGTAAAAGGAGCACACGGGTTTCCCCGAGCTGGAATCCTGGTGGCCTGGGGTCTTGGCTGTCGGAGGTCCTTTAGGAGGGCTCTGAGGCGGCTTCTTAGGGGGCGGTGGAACGGTGGCTGGCGTTGCTTCGACGCCCTTAACCTTGGCAGGTGTTGGGACCTGGTCCTTAGCACCCTTATCTTTATCCCCCCTATGCGCAATCGCCTCAAGTTCTCCTAACAGTTGTGCATGCAACTTCTGTACTTTCTCAGGATCAGGAGTGAGGTCTATTTGTAAGGAAGCCCGCGCTAAGTTCACTCGAAAGGCCACCTCAGGGTTCTGTTGAAGAACACTACGGGTTATCTTAGTCAAAGCTCTGACTTGCAGCGAACTGTCGGGCAAAACGCCCCCGAGCTCAGACATACGACAACCCCACCTTTGCCATCGGCGCAGAATGTCGATTGTGTCTTGGATAGAGGTCCCGGCGGGTGGTTCAGTGATATGCTTCAGGCCTATTTCTCGCTCTGTTAAGCTACCGGGCCCGTAGATTATGAAAAGTCGGCATACAAGTGGCAGTAGCCCCGAAGTTCGCGACGCACTCAGCTCGTCCTTGATTGCTTGCGGAGAAGCCGCGATGATCATGGTCTCAATGCGGCGCGCGACGCGCGACCACTTAGGCTGCGCAAGCTCCTCAGAGGGGCTGGGTTTCGCTGTCAATCGGGTCAAGGGGTCCATCTTGAGATACCTTCCATACCAAGCCTGTGCTTCCTCTACCGTCTTTGCCCATAGAACCTCTGATGAGTCCGAAATATCCGCTAGCGCTGGTTTGGATGCATGCAACCAATCTGCAAAGCTCAAGCAAGACTCAGGCCCATGTGGTGGGAGCTCAGGGAGGCTAACCACCCCAGGTTTTATAACCTCAGGTTTAGAGTCACCCTTAGGGCTGGCCATCTCCTTAACTACACTCTGAAGCTGCGCCATTCCACTAAGCACGACGGTCATAGGATCTAAACCCGAAGTTCCCGAACTGGTCCCAGGTGGCTGAGAGCCCGCAGCGGATGCCTGAGGCGGTGGTGCTACGCCTGCGGTGGGCACGCCTGGGTACCCTTGCGTTACGGCTGGCTCAGAATGGGCACTCGGTCCTGGCACTGGGATTACGTCGGGTCCTACTCCTACATTAGGGGTTCCGAGGCTAGGCGGCGGGGGTTCAAGGACAGTTGGTCTACTCACTGGCACAGGAAGCTCCTGGGGCAGTTGCAAGGTGGGGTCTATCTGGCCTAAACCAAAGGTAGGAAACCCTAGGGTAGGTTGGGGCTGCCCTTGACCTTGTGCTGCTGTCATCATCATCTCCTGATTCAAAATGGCCCTAGGAGAAGGCTGAGGAGGCGGTCGTGGAGTTGAGGTAGCAGGACGGATTGGTGCAGTAGGAAACCCAGGAGCAGTTCCCAAGTCCAGGGTGCGATCCGACCGGGATTGGCCTATCAAGGATCCCAAACCTCTTCCCAACCAACCAAATCCAGGAAAACCCGCTTGAGGCCTTGAAGTCTGCATCCCTGGATGAGCTTCAAGCTCCGCCCTCATCCTTAAATGATGAATTTCCATAGACAGTGCCTCTACTTGGGCACGCAAGCGCCTACTTTCTTCATCCCTAGTTGCCATAAGTTCACTCAACTGTCTCCGGACTTCCGCTTGAAGCTCAGAAGACGAAGTAGATGGTGGCCGCGGGGCTTCCAAGCCAGCAGAGTTCCCACCCACTCCAGGTTCCAAAGGCAGATGAGAGCCAGTAGGGCCCAACGAAGTATCCTGATACAGCAGGGGCGCACTCTCTTGCATCTGCTGCATGCGGACCAAAGTCGGCACATCGAACAGTAGGGGCTCCGGAGCGCGTGGCGGAGGTGCCGGTGGTGTCCTTTCCACCGACGAGTGCGCCGACCCAGCCACTGACGCATATTCCACACTGTCATGTTGCCCCGGGGTCCCGGGAACTTGTCTCACCGTCGCCGTCCTGACCATCAGATTCTCAACCGTAGCTGGCAAAGTCTGAACCGCCCTCAACACACCCGTAAGCACTCCAGATAATGAGGGCCCCGGGATTCCTAAAGCCGGTGCTGCGGCACCACGACGGATCCCAGTCTCTCCACTTCCAGGCACTCGTCCCATAGGAAGTGGCGAATCAAGCGGGGCCTGGATCTGTTCCGGTCTCGCGTCAGAGCCTTGAGCCAGTGCGGGCTGTCCTCCGGTAGCGTCGGCAAAGTCATTCGACGAAGCTGGGGCAGGAAGGCCTTGCGGTCTCTCTGCAACAACTTCCCCATCCATATCATGGCTGCCCCTCATCGGTGCAGTCACGCCGTTCATGATCAAAGGCCTCTGCCTCTGATCACCGCCTTGCGGAGCGGCGGGGTTTGGGCGTATCATAACCTGTGGAAACTCAGGAACGTCCTGAGTGTTCGGGTTCTCGAGATTATCCGATGCCATGGTATACGTCGTCTTAGCCAGAAGTCGAGGCAATACAGCTCAAGTCAGGCAGGAGGTCCATGGGCTGACAACGGATTGTTTCACTCACGCACTGCGAACATGCTGCCGTCCTCAGGACTGGATGCTATCGCCTAACGCGGAAGCTTAACATGTTTGTCGCATCTATACATGACTTCACATGTCTGTGAGAGCTCAGCTCTCATGAGAACGAGCCGTCATGGCTCTGCGGAGCAGCATTGGCCTCAAGGGGCTTCAACAAACCCTTATAGCAGCCCTTGTGGGACCCGTTACGGGAAGCCTACTCTGATCACCAAGGCCCCTCTGGGCCCATGCCCGTGTCAACTTCTGGCCTCTCTGCGCGGCCGGAAGTCTGCTAGGATGGTCGCCTCAGTCTCAAGCATGGTTGCTTTTCGGGTTGAAGCTGTTGTGCTTTATGCCGAAGCCCTAAGCCCTAAAACTGAAAACGGCCATCGGCAACAACCCCGCACCTCTGAAGCCCAGAAAAACCTCATTCCCCAAAACCCCAAACACCCTGAATTTTATGCTTGTACAGAAACATAAATGGACACAGCCACACACGCACGCATATACATATACACATGCATGTATCTGTACATATGTATACACATTTAACCAATTCTAAGTCTGTATAATTATAACATGCCATTTAGTTGTACGTAGCATTATGATGTCAACCTTCGCTCGGAGACGTAAATTGCATTGAGATGTCAGGAAACGAGTTATCAAGCTCTTGACGGAGCCAAGAACCGCTGTGCCACTTAATCTTCTTTCTAATGGCTTCGCAAGGACGAGCCGGGAGAGATGGCAAGGTCACCCAGACCCGACTGCTGGATGTCAGTTCTCGAAGTCTCGGCCTTGTTCACGAAGGAGGTCACAGCCGTTGAAAAGCCCGGCCCGCTCTGCTCTTCCTCCCCGCTCAATGGAGAAAAAACCTCCTACTTGGACGTCCCGAAAGTGGCGGAGCAGGCATTGGTGCCATCACTCAAGCAGTCGCGGCCGCGGCTGCCTTGGCCAGAAGCTGTCGCAACTGCGAGCCCTCTGTTTGGGCCGTCTGCATGATACCATCATGTCCACATCCATCACCGGACCCGGAAAGCACCGCAAACCCGCGCAGCTCACCCATCCGAAACCAACAAGGGCGCGAGTTCTTCAAAGGTGTTGAAGGCATCGGACTCTGGTTCTGGGTCAAGCACTTCCAAACCTCAAGCCACGTGTTGCGCGTCAATAAGGAAAAGCTGTTTTCAGTTCATGAGGTGGGCGGCGCAAGACCTAAGCCACACATCCTGCTGGCTGCAGCGTGGCGCCACCGGCGAAGGTCAGACTGCTTGGGATCGGGAAGTAGACCAGCATTTTCCACACCCAATACGGCATTGGCTTTTGCAGCACCTCCTGCAATCTCCCCCTTACGTGCTCTGGCGAAGTGAATCTCGCGCATTTCACCTCGACGCTGCCAGCAGTCACCAAAATCAGCATTTTTGACTGACCCTGATCGAGCGGCGAAACATGGATCTCTAAAGGCGGAGCTGATGTATTCATGCTGCCAGGCTCAGGCTCCGGCTCCTCTGCGGTCCTCTTCATGATGGCCCTGGCCTCCCAGACCATGCGGCACAACTCCACTTCGGGAACCACATAGGGCTGGAGCCGAAATGGAAGAAGGGCCGCCTCTTCTGCCCAGTTAGGGCCCAGCACCCGCGCCGCTCCGGGGGAGAACATGCGCGCCGTGTGCCCCACGGAACGCAGCAGCACCTCGGCCGCGGGCGGCTGGAGTTGGACCTCCGCAGGGTAGAGGCTGCGCAAGTACTGCAAGGCGGAGCTGGTGCTTTTGCTTCCAGCGTTCGACTGGGAGACGGAGCTCACGCGATAGAGAAGAGGTCGTGCCCCAGACTCAAGCTGGTGCTGTGCTTCCCAAAACATACCTGTGGGCAGAAAGATGTGGTTGCCGCGCCCAGCTCCATAGACCTGCAGACCACCATACATGGTGTCAGCACCCATGTCCTGAATGCCGAGGAATGCAGAGCCGAGGCTCCATGCCAAAAAGAGCAGAAGAAAAAAAAGCTGCGTCATCAACGTAACTCGAGTTCCTCGCTCGTCGTAGCTGTCGTAGCCTGCATGAATGGAGCGTGTGTCGTCGCCATGTCTACACTCAGTGTAGAGGATTGCAACCATGACGCCATAAACCGGCATTGCGAAGTCCTGCATATCCAGGCCAAGCGCAAGCAAGGCGAGCAAGGGAACGAGCATGAAAGCCGCCGCAATAATCCGAGAAGAGATCGAGGAAGAAGGGACCGGGACCCTGTCGTCAGAGTTGCGCAGAGGAAGCGGAAGCAACCAGACATAGCAAACTGCCATCGCGCAGGAAAACCCACCGGCTCCGTTGGGCGATGGGCAGATGGCAATCAAAAGGTGGAGAGACAGGCCAACTGCAAAGATCAGCCTAGTCGTCACAGGCAACCACGCAGTGAGCACTTGCATCCGAGGTAAACTCAGTGCTATTGTGAAGACCAGGACCAAGACAGCCAAACCGATCTCCACCAGGAGTGTTCCAAAGATGGAGATCTTCACAAGGACAACATTGACCTCTCCGAAGTAGTCCAGCCAATAGAAGTACTTCGCCAGCAGCTGTGCCCAGAGCACGGGCGCACAGGAGACTTGTAAATCGAGAAACGTGGAGTTCAGCTTCCAGACTCCTGCAAAAAGGTACAAGAGGCCTAGCTGCCCGCAAAGCATTGGACGGGCGGCATTTAGGACGAAGGCGCATCGAGCATCGAAGGTGTAATGACGGCCGAGAAGGATACCTCTGCCATGAGGTTTCAAAAGAAAAGCTACGAATCGGCTCAATACAGTATCGGCTCCTTCAGGTTGCATTAAGCTTTCGGGGGTCTTGAGACTGAGGCACCCAGGGCCAGGATGGCCGCGAGGCTCAACTCCATGAGAGCAGAAGCATACTGGTAGTCCCAGGCCAAGGGTGCAGACTCCAGAACAACCAGAACGCCCAACACCTGCGAAAGCAGAAGCAAGGGCAGAAGGATCGACTTCGAAGCCTCCGAAGCCTCCTTCCCAGCCCGACCGAGCAAAGGCTCCGAAGGAGGGGCGGCAGGAGCGGCGGCAGAGAAGAGCCAGAAGCTGAGGCCCAAAGCGGCGCAGAGCTTGCAGAGCGGAGCTTTGGAAAAAGAGAAGGTCCCACGAGACGTCTGGTCGAAGACCAGCTGAAAGAGGCCGGTCTCCAGGAACTTCATCAAACCCCAAAGCCGCCCGTAGCAAAGGAGACGCCGCGCCGCGGCGCTCTGACGGCGCTCCATGACGCCACTGCTTTCCTGACACTAAACTCACGGCCTCTTTGCCGAAGCGTCTTCGTCTTGCAAAAATCTGCGAAGGATCTCCGTTACTAGGTACGCGCTCTTTGAGCACGCTGTTGCCTCCCGCTGCTCTCTAACCCAATGCCTCTCTGCTTTAATTCAACCCTCCCCTTGAGATGTAAGCAGCTCTGGCAAGCACACAAGCAAACGCCGCGACGCACACCATGCCCGCAGTGACACAGAAGCCGCTGCTTACACGGTCCTTCTCGAATAGATCTGAACACGGATTAGAATAGTGCGCCGCCATCGTCGTCATCATCATCCACAAAGTCTGAGGTCCGGGCACACAGGTCGCCTGACTCCCCACTTGCCTGCAGCGAGTGCTTCACGCTGGCAGCTTTTACGATGTCGGTCGTTATCGTCCAGAAACGCTTCGAAGAGGACAAAGCCTCCCTTTCCCAGGACAGCCTGCAAGGTTTGAACACTCTGCACTTTTGCATGTGCCCTTGTCTTGGTCGTGTGCGCATATAACTTACCACGAGACGAATTACAACTCACCTTCGGCAAAACTCGAAGTTGCAGCTGAGACTGCTTAAGCGAACTGGAGCTGTCAGAGGACAGCTTGAGTACGCGGCCCATGCACAACTACAAATCACTTAAATATTCCGGCGGCTCTCCAAAACTGCACAGGAACAGAAGAGCCTTTAATTTAAGGGCTCAGGATGGCTCAAGCGTCAATCTCCTGGAAGCCTAAGGCGACGGCTTGGTTGATCCAAGCTTCCAGCACGAAGCGGTCAATGCAGCGAAACTCCACGAGGGAAAGAACCGGCGATCTGGACTCAGCCTCAGTGCTCTCTTCGAACTAAATGGAAAGGGGTGAGCTTCTGCTTTTGTGGCAACAGCTTCTGCTTTTGCAGCCTCGCAACTGCTTCCGAGTCGGCGAGAGCTTGGAGGCCGACCTGGGCCACGAGGTCGGCTGGCCAGCCGCGGATGCCGCACTGCGGAGACAGGGAAGGCACAAAGAGGAGGCGGAGAGATCTCCCACAGCGGCCTTCGGTTTTTTTGGAGGGGCTCAGGGGCTCGGATTCTCAAAATATCCCAAAAGTCCGGGGTTGTTTCTGCCCTGCCCCTGCCGGGCCTTGGAGAGAAGTTCGTGGAAGCTTCGACGGAGTAATTGGGGGGGGGGCCTTCTCGAGAGTGACTCGCCGTTTGGTGCCGGCTTTGCTGCCGGATCCTCCGCTTAAGCGGAGGGGGGGTAGCTGGGAATTGCAGTGTGGGGAGGAGATGTGTTTTCACTACTGGGACCCTTTGGGCTCACCAGGACTCCTCACCGAAAGCTGAGGTGCCTTTGTTGTCGGCACTCTTCTCGAAGACTCTGTCCCCCAATTAAGGGTGCAGGGCTCTGCGCTGTCCCAGCGAAGCCCCCCACAAATCCGCCGCCCCCGCTTCCCACGCCCTCCAACTTCTTGGACGAAGTGGCCGCGGGACATCCCCCCGGCCCCCAATGAAGCACGTTTCCCTGAACGCAGGCAATGTGCACGGTCCACGGCCGGGTCCCCGGAAAGAGCGGCGCAAGGAAGACAGGGAGGGACAGCACTTCAAGCTGCGCGAGGCCATGGGGTCCCAGGCAAGGAGTTCTTGACTTCTTGAGCCTTCAGAGACCTGTACGTCTTGTTCCAGGTACCATTTCTATCTTGCGTATAAGCCACAAATGTATTTCTTGTATCAGAGATATACGGTATAGGATTCTTACGCTGATTTCCTTTATGTCATATATGTTAGAGACAGCCAGAGCCTGTGTGATGCCGACTTCAGCCTGCCTGGTGCAGGTCGGCTCTGGGATCGGCAGCGGATCTCCTGGGAGCCACTTGAAAGAAGATCTCAGGCCCTCCAAGAAATCTCCGGCCCATACCATACATCCTACACAAACTACATCAAGCTACAAGGGCTTTCACGACACAAAGCACTCGGCAGGAACAGCAAGCGAAAACTTCCAAACAGTACGCGCGTGGCTTGTTCCCAGGATGCGGCAGCGGCCCGGCAGGAGGACTTGCAGGGCCTCGAAGCTCGAGAAATGACCATGAACACGCCTGACACAAACCAACACAAGCACTCTTCCGATTCGCGCCACCGGTCCGCCCTAACGGTTGAGTTTCGAGCTTCGTTAGAGATCTGCACCAGGTCCGTCGCCTTCATGGTGCGAAATGCGGGCTGCGACGCTGTGAACTATGCAACAAGTCCCTCCTTGAGCTTGGTGGCGCGACCGTCACTATTGACGACACAGGCCACAACGGCAGAGTGCAAACAGCGGCCATGGCGGCCAAGGTCCGCTGAAGCTCGGGGCTCGCGTCTGTTCCCTCGGTCACGGATGTGAAGGCTGGGAACTTGCCCAACAGGCTGCGGTCTTGTTGCGGCTGCTTCCCTGCTTTGCTCTGTGCTGGGCCGTGTCAGACGTGAGACTTTAAGAATTGAACGACATGAAGCTTGACGCTCACGAATGGTCGTGCTGCCCTCCGCTATCAGAAACTTGCAGGCTTTGCCGCTTTTCGTCTGAGCATTGCATAGGCGTCCAAGACCATCTCAGAGGGGCTGGAGGACTTGATCGGAATGGGCGATCCAGCCGTATTTGCCAGAACGGGTTCGGACGGAGCCGAAGACCACCTTGAGCTTGGCCTCCTTGTCATCGAGCAGCTCTTTGCCCTCTTCCTTGAAGAGCTCCACGACATCCCCCTCCAGCAACAGCTCCTTGCTCTCACTCTTAAGGTCCTCCGTTTCGAGGAGAGGCGAGCGTCGGCGAAGGGCGTAGGCGGGGCCCACCGCCACCGGACGCAAGTGCGCCAGAGTCGCCCAGCCCTCGGAGCCATCCCGCGCTCGGAGGCGAAGTCGCTCCCCCACCTGGAAGAAGAACAGAATAGCTCTTTCTCGAATTTAGAGTCATTAGAGGATTAGAGGCTTCACTTGTGAGAATGCTTGGGGCCGGTGATGGCAGGGATCGGGGGGATGGCAAAAGGCTGGTGTGGGGATGGCGTTTGAGGGAATTTCGCGGCACCTCATCGACCTCCTTGGGATCCGCCGGCTCGAGTGCTTCCAGGAATTGCCCGCTTTGCAGCTGGACTTTGGCGTTGTCACCACTCACTTCGGCTTCCTCTTCTACTTCTTATTATTTAGAAGCGATACAACTCGAAAGAACTCGCTGAAAGCAGACACGGACAACATCGCAGTCCCGGTCCTCGGTGAAAGGCGTCTGCTGCATGACCTTGTAGAAGGATCTCAGCAGGCGCTCGAAGGCAGAAAGTGGCAAGGTCTCTGCATCTTCGGGGAGTGCCCGGTGGAAGACTTTGGATGCCAACTCCGTCTCGGCAGTCTCGACCTCGGCTTTCCTGCAAAGCTCCAGAAAAGCTTCTTCGGTCATGTCGGAGTCGGAGATGGAGTGGAAGAGCTGCTTGGCAGAGAAGTTCTGGGTCTTGGCATAAGCTCTCAGGGCAGAAGCGAGCTTGCCCCTGGCAAGGTCGATGGCCTCGTTCTCTTTCCGAGCAACCTTGGCTCGGAAGAGCTCGGTGAGCCTTTTGGCTCTTTCCAAGCGCTGCCCTGTGCGCCCCAGGCGCAGCGCAAGCCTTTTCTGGTGCGGGGCCATGATCTCCTCAAGCTCCGAAGCCTTCACTTGCTTGGAGTTCACCTCCTTCCGAAAAGCCACAGGGAGCTGCTGCACTTTCTTCTCAAAATCTTCTGCTTTTTCCTGACCTTTCTGAATCAATGTCTCGCAGTGCTTGGACCGTGTCTGCATCTGGCCTGGAGGGCTCCCAGTCTCTGTGAGAAGAGGGGCCACGGCAGCTTCCACCTCCTTCAAGGTGTCTTCCGTTTGACTTCCCGTGGAGGCCTCAAGCTCCTGAACCCGCCTGCGCCACTTGCTTTGCAAGCTCGCGAGTAGCTTCGCACGTGCCTCCCTGGCCAAGCGCCGCCGGCCATCACGCTGCATCTCACGGAAGGACCCAACGCAGCTGGACAGCAAAGAAAGGCTCTGAACGGTACCATCCTCTTCCAGAGCAGCCCTCACGATTTCCTTCAAGCTCTTCTCCGACACCTTGGAGGCACTGGTCTGGGTCTCCGTCTGAGAGAGCAGCGTCCTCGCCAGTTGCAGCGCTTCGGCCTCTTGGAGCCGCCCGTCCCCGTCGCGGTCGAAGGAACGGAACAAAGCCGAGCGACGCTCCGCCTCCCTCTTGGACTCCTACAAAGGCGACAGAGAGAGAAAGAGAGAAAAAACAACTTCTACGGTAGTAGGGCAACTACGCTTAGATGGCGACAGCGCGAAACCCGAGCTCCCCTTTTTCAAGATGCTGGGTGTCGCCTCGCGGCGCCTCATGTTCTTCTCGCAGGCCAAGGTGGCCTGGACGTAGGCTTCCGAAGTCTGCTGGGCTGCTTGGAGGCGCAGGAGGTAGAGGGGAACTTTCCGCAAGACCTCCGCAGCTTCCGCGGAGTCCTTGAGCTCTTCCTTCAGCTTGGAGTTTGCTTGTGCAAAGGTGCCGCACTCCACGGCCGCATCTTCAACCTTCCGAGCTGCAGACCTTGCGCTTTGTGCCAGCTCCATAGCTTTCACCAAGCTCTCCACTCGGAGCGAGCCGCTGAGCACCGCAGCTGGGAAAGGCTTAAACTTCTCATCCGTCGTGGAAGTCGCGGGCTCGGGCTCCGCTGGGCCAGGCTCCGCTTTTGCCTCCAGGTGCTCTGCGAGGATTGCGTGCAGGTCCTTCACAGCTCCCTCGGCATGGTCTAAGCGACGAAGGAGCTCCGCAAGAAAGGCCTGCGGCAGGAGAAGGAGCAGCCTACCAGTAGCGGCCCTAGCACAAGGCCCACATCCAGAGAGAGAGAGAGAGAGGCCCATGAGCGGCGCGCGTGGCGGCCCCTGCCCTTGCCTTGGCCTTTTCCTCCTCCTCGTGTTGCTTTCGCTTCATTTCCTTCAAAGTCTCGCAGCGCTTCTTTGCGGCCTCCAAGCCACAGGCCGCCTCCTCCTTCACGGTGTCTGCCTGCGAGCCCAAACTCGACTCAGCGGCCGCAGTCCTCAGTCAAAGAACATCCCGGGTCCCTCCCCTATCAAGAAGCTCAGCAGCTCTCACTCAGCCAAAAGGGGTGACAGTGAGTCATTCTGAGGCCTGTGCTGCAGCAAATCTTGGAGCTCCTTCTCCAAGGCATCCAAAGTTTCTGGGGTGGCAATGCGCACTTTCTGAATCTGTCGGCGTATGGCTAAGACGGAACGCTGCTCCAGGCGGCGCTTCTCAAGCTCTTGCTGTGCCTTCTCCTGCTGTGCCTTCTGTGCCTTCTCCAGCTCCTTCCGCTGCAAGGCCTCAGCCTCTCTCCGTCTCATCTCCTCAGCTTTCCTGGCCTCGATCTTTCTCCTCTCCTCCATCTGGTGCTGTTGCCTCTCCTGCATCTCCCTCATCTCCCTCTCTCGCTGCTCCCGCTCACGTTGCTCCCTCTCGCGCTGCTGGGCCTGCTGGGCCGCCTGCTGGGCTTGGAGAGCGGCCTGTTGTGCATCCCAGGGTGACGGGGTGTGGACTGCAGGGGCTGCAGCAGCGCTCGCATAGCTTGCGGGAGGAGGCACCACAGTGGGGGTGGGATTCGGATTGTAGGCTGCAGGAGTCGGAGTCGGAGTGGGGGCAGCTCCTGGTGCGGGGTAGAGGATGAAGGTGTTGTCCACAGGGCCGTCGTAGGGAACTCGCCAGCCGCTTGCAGGGGGCTCCGACTCTTTGTCTGGTTGGTAGGCCCAGACCTGGTCGCCGCCCACTTTCGGCCCGAACCACCAGCCGGAGAAGCTCGGGCCATCGCGCTCATCCTGAGCCGTGCTGTGCTGCGCTTTTTAATTACACATCGAAAGAGAAGATCGACAACAAAAAGAGAGAACACTGAGTGATCATGTCAGCTAGGGTGCCCAGAAATAAATCATCACGTCCAAGCCATTCCACTGGGACTCTTTCTTGAACACCGGGTGGCCATGATTCTCTCCCTCCCTGGTAAAGTGACCACGAACAATCTGGGCCACCGTCTCATGTCTACAGCCTGACACCACCAGCCGAGAGGCTCCCGAGCTCTCCGCAGGCGCAGCTTTCGCACTTTGCGCTTGGGCCGGCGCGGCAAAGCCCAAGGCCTGGTAGGCCTGTGCCGCCTGTGCCGGCTGTGCTTGCGGTTGCGCCGCTTGCGGTTGCGGCTGGTATGCAACTGGTGCATAACTGACAGGATACGCCGGGGCATATCCTGGGTATTGGACTCCATACGCGAAGCTCATGGCTGCGACTATCTCTCTTCCATGCCTGAGCGCATGCTGTACATGCTGTATACGGTCTGAACTGAAAGCAGGGTGCGCGCGGCGCAAGATCTGGACATGTCTGTGCAGGGTATCTAATCCTGCACTCTCCGATCGGCATCAAGTGGACTGCTGTTGTCGCGATGCAAGTAACTATAGACGTTTCTTCACTGCGATAGCCGGCCACCCATCCCAAGCGAAAAGCCTTGCTTGCGCAAATCGCCCAGCCGACAATGGGAGCTCAAGGACAGGCTGCACATCAGTGCGAGATCTCTTCTCCGAATTCGCCTAGCCTTCCTGTGAGGATTTGCAGGTCTCCATCCGAAGCTTTGTGGCATCGGCGGATCGCAGACTGTACATTCAAGGAATGCCAACATTGGCTAGCATCCACTCCTTTTAAGCGACCGCACCGCCGCAAGACCACGTTTAAAAAAGAGCAGCCCTTTGCTTCTCAGTTCACTACGAAGTGCACCGACATCGGCAAAGTCGGAGAGTGCGCCTGCGCATCACGGACGCTTCGGCCTAGTCACATACTACTACACCACACAGACGAGGCCAAAAGCCTTGCAAATGCTCGATCTCAGCACTCCCGACTTGCAACGATGATTGACATATAGTCGTTGTTGTGTGATGCCAGAGCAAGCACGCGACATCATCGGCGATGCCCCCCGGTGACTCACGCTGCAAATGCAGCCGTAAGCCAGAAGCTTCACGCTTTTGTGGACGCCGGGAGTTTGTGGCGAAGTGGCAATCCGCATACCCCTTTCCGACCGTCACTGGTGGCTACTTGTGCCTTCAAGAGACTTGCCGAGTGCCGTGGCTAGAGTGACCCCTCAACAGAAAAGCAACGGCTTCCTTGTCGGAGGCTTTGCCCGTGCCACGTGAGGAAAAGAGTTGCTCAAACAATTTCTTGAGGAATTTGTACTGAAACTACTGTAACTAAGAAGTCCAGGAGATTGGGACCGACCAAGTTTAAGCGACAAAGAATGGCACGCGAGAAGTTCGGCCTCTGGCCTCTGGCCTTTGGCAGGGGACCGCAATGGTGTTTGCCAAATCCAACGAACCCCGCGGCCTTCTGCCGACGGGTTTGATAACTGGGAAGCGGGTGCAGCAGTAGGAGGGAACGGTTTTGCTTCCGGTTCCGAAGCGCGTTGCAAGCGCTCAGTGCAGGCATCATCAGGCGTCCTTAGCGCCATTTTTCAGGCAGCAAATGTGCCCCGTCATTGACTCATGCTCATGCCTAGGGCCTAGGGGGTGCGGTCTGCTGGGCGTTGACGGATAAACCCAAGTACCGAGAGTACTTGGGGACTGTGAAGGCTGAGTGAGATGAGAGGGCAGCTGTTCGAACACGAGTTGTCTGAGCAAAATCAAGCCTCAACTTGTTCGAGTTGGAAAGAGAGCGGCTGATGCCAGCTAACTTGCCTCTGAATTCGTCGATTTCGTTCCCGCAAAATGCAGTTTGTCATTGCTGCACACCTCCAATCCTGACACGACATTGTGAGAGTGGATCCGCGACATATGTTTGGAAGCTGACGCACCGGAACCGCAACTCCGACAAAGGTTTCCGATTAACGCTTCCATTTTCAGGAGTTCTTCAGACTCCTTCCCCGGACCCCCCAAGTAAGGCACAAACAGATCACGAGCTTCCGGCTGCAGAGACACCCTTGCAGTGGTACCAGGACAGTATAGCATCTGGTGTAACTGCAAGGGTAAGCGCCGGGCGGCGCTCTGCGACCGCGCTTTGTCTTACTGCGAGACATGGGCGAGCCGATGGGAGATGCGCCGCGATGGGCCTGAGACGAAGCTTGGCGAAATCGCAGCGACGAAGCTGCTGAAGCTACTGTTGCTACATCGCTAGAGCTGGCCCGGCACTTTTTTTTTTCGCCTCCTCCGGAATGCAGCGGAGACTGGGTGCTCGAAGGCAGAAATCTGGTCCGAGATCTCCGGGGCGGGGGCGGGGTGCCCTAGAAATGCCAGAATGACTGCCCAGATCAGCTCAGGCTTGCTGTTTCACTCCGGAAGCGCCTCCGGCAGTGATTTTGCTGTGTGTCCTCCTACGCTGGCCACTGGGCTTGAGCTGTCGCTCGGAGTGTCAGTTTTTCGGCTCAGCCAATGCCCTCCTCAGCGACTCCGATACTCGCCGCAACGTCCTGGCACACGCCACGGGCCGTGAGCCCAACGCCGGGATTCCCAAGTCCTGCTCGGAGCCGGCGTCACCGGCCTCGAAGCGATCCAAGCGCTCTAGGCGAGCGCGCAAGGCCTCTGTGCGGCGCCGCGCCTAGCAGAGGAGAGTCTGAGAGACACTCGAAAAGCGGTGGCACGGGGATGAAAGCTCCGCGCCTCATCAAAGTCTGCCTTGAGCCGGGCCTCCTCGCGCCGGTCCTCTTTCGACACTTAAACACCGCGAACAAAGCCACTTCCAAAAGCAGTCTCTCCATCCAAAATCCTTCTTGAGAGAAGCCAAGCCGCAACTCTCTCCTCCCTGCGGGACTTCTCCACTTAAGCAAGCTTACAGCTTGCTCCTCCCTGCGGACGCCGTCCCCGCCCCCTAATCCCGGATGTCCCAATCCCGGCGCGGCCGGCGAGGGGTCCTCTTTGGTAGCAAAGAGGAACTCGGCTTCGGCTTCGCGACGCTCCCGCCGCAGCTCTGCCAAGCTGGCCTCCATCCAATAGGACGCAGAGCCTCCCTAAAGAAGGCACCGAAAACGGTCCGCAACTGCATGAAGGATCCTGTTGTTACCGAAGGTGGCAGCGGAAGTGGGAGGACATGATTTGAGGAAATGCAGAGGTTTTTCCATCCGCCAGCGGGAGCTGCTGCTCTTCCGGCGGCCGCCCTTCTTCGTCTTGAGAGTTTCTTTCGAATTTTCTCGGAGCTCTTTGCGATCCTCCGCGCGGCCCAGTGTAGTTGTTCCAACGTCCTCGTGCGCCCGGCGTGTTCGTTGATACTATACACTGCGCCGTGCTCGCCGGCATTGGGCGCGCGATCCGCTCCTTGTAAACAACAGCATTATAACATTCACCAAGTTGACCAAGTGACCCAAGCGGCGCGTATCGATTGGCTGCTCTCGAATTGCCGGGGAAATGTGCCATTCTTAGTACGTAATTGGTGTTACTACTACAAAAACTTGCTTTTGGGACGTGCAGACCGCCTGCCAGGCTTCCAGCAGCTGCTCTTGAGCCTGACACAGCGATGGGTTGAAATCTCTGAAAAAGCGGGCCGGAGTTCAATTTACCACATTAAAGGATCCCTATTGCATCCCTGTTGTTTGCTGAGATCCCTCTTATATTAACTCAAGTTTCAATGTTTGAGAAGATCGCCGAAATCTCTTCGAAGCCCAAGAGTGAGCATCGAAACAAAGAGGCGCTTGGCTCCCGAAATCTCCAACTTCAGATTCCCAAGCCGTGGACAGCCTAAAACTGCGAGCGGCGAAATCCTAAGCAAAGACAGCCCCGACTGGCACCTCAAGCTCGTCGCGCAAGGCCTCTCGCGCCCGGCGCTGAGCCTCCTGAGAAGGCAGACACTTCAGCTGGCAGCGAACTTCGCGTCTTCTGCTATGCATTGGAGAGAGGGGCAGGGACTGCAGCTTGTGGAGGAAGTCATCTAGCCGAATCCTTCTTGTCCAGGGCAGCGATGTCAAGCTCAATCATGCGGATCTCCGCCTTGCTGGTGCTCCTAAGCTTTCCTACACACCCTAAGGTCCTAAACGCCTACAAGGCCCTGCAGGCCTCCAGCTGAAGCTCTTCGGCACTCTGCTCCTCAGAGTTGTCCATGGCACCCCAAAAGGAAAATCCCCCTCAAAACCTGGCATCTCCTAAGGTTCCTGGGAAGCTTCACAGCCCTCTAAGGCTGGCCTTGCAAGGCTGAAGTTGCTCTGCTTGAACCACGAGACGCGGGCCGATTTAAAGAGACAGGACTGACGCACTCTCCAGGGCTCCAGGGCCCCTCATTTCGAGAGATCTCATTCTGAGAGATAGAAAAGCTGGCAGCTCGTAGGCAACAAAATACGCTCGCACGGAGAAGCGCTTGCAGCTGGGGGATGCGTTTCTTTGCCACCGGGGGCCGAGCAGGTGCCGTCGGTGGCGTTGTGCGGCACTCTGCCCCTCTGCACCCGAGCCGAAATGCAAGGCACGGGGTTTTGACTCATTGACTCTCCAGCACATTCAGTGGCTGCGGCTTAGTTTCTGTATAGGGAGTTCAAAGGGGATTGACAGAAGGAAGTGCATCGTAGGTGCGAGACGCTAATTAGTCCGTTTCCTGCTCACGATCGTGATCCAGCAGCTGGGAATCAGCAAGAAGTGTCCCGCTTTTGGTCAAGGACTTCAGCGCTTCGGGTGTCGGGCCCCGTCTTGGAGCGTAACACGTAGAAAGGGTGTATACAGATTGGCATCGACACTTTCAGCGCGGGACGCCGGGACGGGGGGCACAGAGGCAGAGGATCACTTCGGCGATCACTTTCACTTCTCCTCCAAGAGCAGTGCGACTCACGAGTTGCTTGTCCAGAAAAGCAGCGCTGCGGTGCGCCTGCGTGAGCAGGTCCCCGGCCGTCAGCAACGCTCGGTTCCTCTTCTCCCGGAGCCTCCGAAGTGCACACCGTGGCTGCGTGCGAAGAAGAGACAAAAACGCCGAGCCTTGCGGGCTGCCTGGAGGAGGTGGACCTGAGGCAGGGGCACTCCATTGCAAGCGGCATTCATGGGCTTCATTTCATGAAGTTTAAAGTTTAAACCTCATGCCTCTCGACTCCAAGCTACGCTCAGTGGTTGTAATTAATCAGAGACCCATCGAGATGAATCCGGATGTGGGATCGCCGATTGCGGCAGGCGGCAAACACCCCTCTTCAGGTTTCATGGGCACAAGCTGTGTCGGCCCTCCTTCCCAAGAGCTTCCAAACTTCTGAGGCAAGCACCTCTCCTTCGGGGTGGCCTCTGCAGCATACTTTGCAGCATGCTTGCAATGTTGCAAGCACTCCTCGCTGGCCTTCAGTGCCGCCGGGATGTGCTTCTGCACAGCTTCCTGAGCAAAACCGCATGTTTCAAGTGCCATCAACATTACAAAGGAGTGACTCCCCACACTTCCGCCTGCCTGCAGCTTCTTTTGAAGACGACCTCGCAGCTTTTCGCTGATGCGCTGTGCTGTTGATCGATGCAAGGCAGGGCGAGGTGCCGGTGTCCACATCGCCGCGCAAGGTGCCCTCGGCCGTCCCTGCCTCCAGCTGTAAAGCCTCAGAGGGCAACAGCCAAAGAAACAAAAATTGACCAAACGAAATGATGAAACAAGTCAACCCCATGCAGACAGAATTGCACAGACAGAAACACACACCTCTCTCTCCTCTCCTCTCCTCTCCTCTCCTCTCCTCTCCTCTCCCTCACTCGCCGTCATTGCTTGTCCGCGCTCATTGATTCAGCACCTCCTGCTATTGTCTCTGAAATCATCTACCAAGGCACCGTGTTGACAGAATGCAGAACTGCATCAATCCATGTCCTGGGTGTGCTGCGATGCCACAAGCTGCCACGTGGCGACTGAAACGAAGCGCATCCGGGCCATCTTCTATGCCAGGCTTCTCCAAACCAGGCGCTCCAGCATGGAGCTTCAGCAGCTTTCGCTTCCAGGTCTCGCAAATGCTCCTTGGGAGATTCGAAAGCTCTCTTATATCCCACCGTCCATCACCATGTAAGCCCAGACTGTCAGTCGAGGCAGACATTCCCTGGTCTGCTCCCACCTAGACAAACAGATGGGCATGCACGCCCATGCACAGAAACAACAACTTCCGGCTTCTTGCCTCAGGCGTGGCTAGTGATACCCTCCGAATGGGGCGTCTGCAAGGAAAGGCCCCTTTCATGGACATGGCGGTCTACTTCGACTCTACATGCGTGCTCTGTGCGTGCTTGTGTTCCCTGTGATGGCAGCCCAGTGGCAACACTTCTGGTTGGAAGTCGGCACCTCCGGCCAACAGCGCTGCGAGCGAGGTGTGGCGGGAAAAGATAGATGAATAGATAGGTGGATAGATGGATAGATCTACGTGGATAGATGGTCTATGCAGATCTTTCAGAATCGGAGGCACTCGCCGCACGTGTTTGCACCCCCGTGGCCTGGCCGCGCCCAGGCGTTCTCGAAGAGGTCGGAGAGTTCTGTGAGCAGCTTCGAGCTCGTTCTGAAGACCTCCGGCCCGAGCTGAACCTGCGAAGCTTAGGGGTACCTTATTTTGGGGTCCTTGTAATATACGGATCCTACCATTTAGAGTACGTATTAGGGGCCTCTATTTTCGGAAACTCTGAGAGTCCAGAAACCCGATAAAATCCTTTGACTCTATCAGTAGCAAGCAAACAGACTAAGCAACCATTCGCAGGGCTCAGGTACTTAGACTCACCCGCCTCAAAGGGGCAGCTCTCCAGGCTACAAAAAAAACTACATCCTTTTAATTTTCGAAAAAACAACATCCTTTTTGAACCCAGACTCTGCCGATCAGCTGGGGAGCACTGCAAGACTTACAGCATCCTAAACCCTAAACTTCTTTGCCCGCTTGCCTGCTCTTCCGAACGTGCCTGACCCGCGGTGAGAGAAGGAGGCTTGGTGGGTCGGGCTCTCTTTTTCTGTTCCGAAAATGAACCCCCTGAAGCTCGAAAAGCTGAGAGCTTGGGAAATCCCGCGGACTCGGCAGCTCTCTGAACAAGAGGAGGTCTCACATGCGTAGGGAGAGAGGATGGAGGGTCTAGGAATCCGCAGGTTTCAAGGATGGCAACAGGGCTCCAGGGGTTTATCGGGTTCACACAAGATTTTCTACTTTGCATTAAAGGGCTGTGTCGGTTGTTGCGACAGAGTGGCAAGTTGTGGCTGTGGCGATGGCTTCCAGATAGGATCGGGAGGAACCTGGCAGAGCGGCTTAAGGGTTTACAAGGTTTCGAAAACTTGGGTTTGGAGCTCACACTCGGTACCCCTTGTTTAGTTCGGGTTCTGAAAGTAAGGGTTGTAGAGTGTCTGGAGTCGAAAGGGCGGTCGCCTGCGTTCTGGAAAGGCAGCGAAAGGGAGTGCAAGAATCTTTGCCAAGTGGACGGGGCGCGAATCAAGCCCACGTTGGGGCGGAGGTGCTAGGGAAAGGCCAGCTTCTGGGTTTGTGATCCATGGACAGAACTTGAGAAGTCCGAGATCCGAGCCAAAACATATCAACCAGAGACCCTGCAGGCTGATGCGAACGAGCCCAAGCACAGACACCGAAGCACGCTTTAAGGGAAGGTGGGCTTGACTCGACGATCTTCACGCCCCGACTGGCTTGACCTCAAAATTCATACCCTCTGTTCTACTGGGTTCCTATGTAGGCTTTCAGATTTGGATGACGGGTGCGGTGAGCCTTTTGGGCCGTGCGCAAGATGATGATTTATGATTCGGGGCAGGGTGACAAGTAGCTGTTCTCCTGACACAATAAGCTCAGTCTTGATATGATGTCGACTGACGAAAAGAGGCCGCATGATCCCTTACAACATATGTGGGGCGGCGGCGCTTTTCCGAACTACACAGGGCCAAGATGTTGAGATCAGACATGAGGGTATCAGCGCAATGCCTGGTCGAAGAACCGCATTCAGCATTCAGTAACCAGCTATAGCAGGGAGGCGGTAGTGCATGATCCGTCCCAGACTATGCATGCCTTTATGTCAAATACTTTTTCTTGGAAGGTGTTGCAATCGGCCTTGCCATCACTCGCACCGACATCGCCCACTGGCTCCTGGGAATCAAAGAGGCAGAGGCGGAGCTGCACGCGAAACGCAGCAAACGCAGCCTCAGCCTCTCTGCTGCCAGGGACCGGCTGCATTTCGGGATCTTCTCCGACTCGCTTTCCGCCTTCTGCCTACAAAGGCAGCTGCAACTCAAAGCTCGTGGACTTTTTAGGATCATCGGAGTTCGTAACTATGATTATAGGTAGCTATCCTTGTAACTACTTATAACCCCCGCAAGTAAGGTGCTTATGCTCCAAGCTCCGGGGGGGAGCTTGGACTCGCAGCCTCGGCTTTGGACTTCGCCAAGTTCTGCTCTCCTGAGATCAGTCGAGAGACCACGGCAACAAAAGGGCCCCCCCGCTGCGGGGGGGACCCCCCCCCGGCTTGGAGCTTCGGAGCCGAGGCCGAGCCGCGGGTGGTGGTGGTTTCCTGGGTGAGGAGCTGCGCGGTGAGGAGCTGCCTGTTAAGTCTCAGAGAGAGAGAGAGTGTCCCCCGCAGCGGTAGCTCTCTCGGCGGCGAAGCGGCGCGTTGTGAAATTGACACTTCACCTCTCACTCATCGTCTTAGCCGAGGCGCCAGTGCTCCATGACCTGAGCCCGCAGAAGGTCCACGTCCTCAGACAGGGCGGCTTTACAGGTTCATGTTGCTGTCGGCCTTTCGGCCCGCAAGACTCATATTTTCTGCAAAGCAGCGCTGTTCTCCAGGCCACCCTGGACATCCGCACAGTCGAAGAGGGCCTGGTAGGTCAGTACACTGTTTCCTCCTTTCTGATTGAGGCTTCTCTTGCTCTTGCTAAGGATCGCTACTCCGCTACTCCGCTACTCAACTCCCTCCGTCACCACGGTCTCTGAACGGGGGTCTTCTTCTTGAATGCAAAGGTCTGCGTTTGAAACCTCGAGCCCTTCAGCCCGAATCTAAACAACGGCCAAGGAGGACGCCTGAACAAACGTGGCCATGTCCTCAGCGTGGGCATCGCCTGTCCAACACAGGGCCATTTCGGATCCCAGGCTTCAAAACACCCAAAACGATACAAGTTCCACAGCTCCACTTTCGATAAAAAGCGTCAGGGCTTGGAACAGAAACGTGTCAAAGTGAGAGACGTGCAAGCATCATTCCACAAGCAAGAGAAGAAGCCGAGGCCGTTGGCCTTCTTCGGTTCTCCGGGAGGGTTTCCCCCTCGTTTGAGGGTTCTCGTGGGCTCCGAGACGAACGGAACTCCCCTCAACGAAGCCCTGAGAGTCGGCCTGCCAGTTCCTTCCAATCCCAGGCCTGAGACGCCAGGGCCAGGAGCAGCGAAGGGAGACAGAAGAAGATATGCTGTGCCATACCACTCCTGGAGAGACAAACAGGGAAAGAGAGAGAGACAGCGAGAGAGGGAGGCTACACCCAGAACATACGGATGCTTTACAGCTGTCATGTACCGCTATGCCTGACCGTAACATGCAGACGTGTACAAACATGCGGACGTACGCACAAACTCTCTGACTCTCTGACATGTCCGCACAAGTTCACGCAAATTGTCTGACCTGTCTGTTGCCTGTCCAGCCTTCACGATGTCCATCCGCACATCTGGAGAAGTCTTTTTCCTGGACGATGGGAACGTCGGCTTCTCTGGCTCTCCCGACTAATCGGTGTATCCATCTGCCCAAGGAGTCTTGTTTACGTTCATGGCGACGGGGCGGTCTATGGATGGTGATGCCCACATGGCTGATGTGGTCTATGGATTCGAGTTGCAAGATGACGAAGACGTGATGCTTGTGACGGTGGTGACGTGACGGCTTTACCAACACCACCGGACATACTCACAGTGAACTAAAGCCTTCGGAAAGGACTTACTTCGTGCTGCCTGGCTTCAGGCACGCTTCCAGAAGCCGTTCGAAGCCTTGCGAAAGGCGCCCAGAGCCTGCGTCCTCGCAGGACTCCTGCGACTTCTCTTCCATGGGTTTCATATCCCCGGGGATCGACTTCTACCGACTCCTACCTCTGTAAAATCTCCGCCACGCACCGGGGCACCGCTTGAAGCAACCTTGCCGTCACTGTGAGGGCATGGCTTGGCTTAGCGGCTTAGCGCGCTTCAGTGGGGAGACCCGGTCCTGAGTCACCGCGTTCTCATGCGGCGCTGGTTCGCAGCTCTTGTCTTGTACTCGCGAGGACCTCCTGCGACACAAGAAGCAGTCCCAGTGAGATCATGTTCCACCTCAACATCACACCTATCAATGTGCGTACTACAGTAGCTCCCCTCTGACTCTGGGAGACATGTCCTCATCTCGTCTCCAACTCCTCTGGAGGTCTCCACCTGCGCTGCCTGCGCTTAAATTCTGAGCATTTTGGAATCACTCCGTCCCAGCAGAACTATCCTACTCAATTTCGAGTCTGGCTCGTCTAACTAATGCACAGTAAGCTTGTGGCTGCTATGGCTCTTGCTGAGCTCTACAAGGGCGGTTATGATACCTTCGGGATCGTGGGATCAGCAGCAGGAGTATTGAGCACCCTTGAAGTTCAGTGCTCGGCCAAGCTGAAACCAAAATGAGAAGCAACGTTTGAACAAGTATGAGATGCTGCTGATAGTGGTCCGATGATGCCACGAATATAAGCATGCCCGTGGGGTTAGCCAGCAAACAACGGCAATGTGAGACGTAGTGCTTGGAACAGGGGCACAGGCACTGTATCTAGCCCCGAAGTCCTGAAGCCTCTTCGCTTTCCGTGCATTCTAAGATTTCTATGCCAAACAGGGTGTGGTTATTGATGTATGCAGTGAGAACGGCACGACGACGCCTGCGCCCCCTGCTCGCTTCTGAGACTGTGCATGGTCCCATCAACGTCTGCGCCATGCGCTACTTCCTTCCAGGCTTGAAGCAGAGCAGTGTAAAGAGGTTCGGCTCCTGCAGTTGAGTCTGCCATGTCGGCGTTGTTCACAGCATCCAGCTCACGCAAGACCAGTGTCTGGAAGGAGGCCAGCGTATCATGCAGCTGCGCTGCCATCTCAGATGATTGCTCGATGCCTCGCTTGGCACATTGCCTTTCCTCCCAGCCCTTGAAGACTTGGGCAATGAGCGACTCCATTTCTGGATCAGAAGCATTGTCCGCGGCAACTTGCGCCAACTCGCGTGCTAGCTGATGCCCATCCTCATTCTTTACGCCAGAAGGACTCGCTGCTGCTGCATCCGCCAGCACGCCCTCGTTGGGTACTGGAATGAGTTGAGCTGACTCGATTGAGTCAGACGGCGCCCGATCCACTTTCACGTCATCTTGCCCACTAGCTGGGATTGCTTTGCAATCTTCGACTTCCATGTCCAGCGGACTCTTGATGACCTCGACTGCCTGTAGCTCGTCACTTGCCTCGCTATCGGGCGGACCGGGCATGACCTGACAGGGTGAGTTGCATGTGCACCTCGTCATTCTTCGGCCAGCTACCTCTGCACCTCCCTTTAGAACACTCGCTTCGGCACTTCAACCTACAGAATTAAAGGTCACCATTATGGCATGGCTAGGCCTCCACCTGCTCGTTCTTGTGCATCGTGCTGTCAGCGTCTGCTCCATGCGTAACTTCCTCCCAGGCTTGCAGAAAAGCAGCGTAAAGCCTCTCAGCGCCCTCGGTTGAGTCTGCCATGTCGGCACTGTTCACGGCATCCAGCTCACGCAGGACCAGTGTCTGGAAGGAGGCCAGCGTATCATGCAGCTGCGCTGCCATCTCAGATGATTGCTCGATGCCTCGCTTGGCACATTGCCTTTCCTCCCAGCCCTTGAAGACTTGGGCGATGAGCGACTCCATTTCTGGATCAGAAGCATTGTCCGCGGCAACTTGCGCCAACTCGCGTGCTAGCTGATGCCCATCCTCATTGTTTGCGCCAGAAGGACTCGCTGCTGCTGCATCCGCCAGCACGCCCTCGTTGGGTACTGGAATGAGTTGAGCTGACTCGATTGAGTCAGACGGCGCCCGATCCACTTTCACGTCATCTTGCCCACTAGCTGGGATTGCTTTGCAATCTTCGACTTCCATGTCCAGCGGACTCTTGATGACCTCGACTGCCTGTAGCTCGTCACTTGCCTCGCTATCGGGCGGACCGGGCATGACCTGACAGGGTGAGTTGCATGTGCACCTCGTCATTCTTCGGCCAGCTACCTCTGCACCTCCCTTTAGAACACTCGCTTCGGCACTTCAACCTGCAGAATTAAAGGTCACCATTATGGCATGGCTAGGCCTCCACCTGCTCGTTCTTGTGCATCGTGCTGTCAGCGTCTGCTCCATGCGTAACTTCCTCCCAGGCTTGCAGAAAAGCAGCGTAAACCCTCTCAGCGCCCTCGGTTGAGTCTGCCATGTCGGCACTGTTCACGGCATCCAGCTCACGCAGGACCAGTGTCTGGAAGGAGGCCAGCGTATCATGCAGCTGCGCTGCCATCTCAGATGATTGCTCGATGCCTCGCTTGGCACATTGCCTTTCCTCCCAGCCCTTGAAGACTTGGGCGATGAGCGACTCCATTTCTGGATCAGAAGCATTGTCCGCGGCAACTTGCGCCAACTCGCGTGCTAGCTGATGCCCATCCTCATTGTTTGCGCCAGAAGGACTCGCTGCTGCTGCATCCGCCAGCACGCCCTCGTTGGGTACTGGAATGAGTTGAGCTGACTCGATTGAGTCAGACGGCGCCCGATCCACTTTCACGTCATCTTGCCCACTAGCTGGGATTGCTTTGCAATCTTCGACTTCCATGTCCAGCGGACTCTTGATGACCTCGACTGCCTGTAGCTCGTCACTTGCCTCGCTATCGGGCGGACCGGGCATGACCTGACAGGGTGAGTTGCATGTGCACCTCGTCATTCTTCGGCCAGCTACCTCTGCACCTCCCTTTAGAACACTCGCTTCGGCACTTCAACCTACAGAATTAAAGGTCACCATTATGGCATGGCTAGGCCTCCACCTGCTCGTTCTTGTGCATCGTGCGGTCAGCGTCTGCTCCATGCGTAACTTCCTCCCAGGCTTGCAGAAAAGCAGCGTAAAGCCTCTCAGCGCCCTCGGTTGAGTCTGCCATGTCGGCGTTGTTCACAGCATCCAGCTCACGCAAGACCAGTGTCTGGAAGGAGGCCAGCGTATCATGCAGCTGCGCTGCCATCTCAGATGATTGCTCGATGCCTCGCTTGGCACATTGCCTTTCCTCCCAGCCCTTGAAGACTTGGGCGATGAGCGACTCCATGTCTGGATCAGAAGCATTGTCCGCGGCAACTTGCGCCAACTCTTGTATGAACCTGTGATGGTCCGAGGCTGCCTTGGTTCTGCTGGGATTGTGGGCTGGGGTTTACGTGTCTATCCATATAGTATTTATGCAATTAAATCCGTGGCTTAGGTGCTTAGCATGGGTTACTTCAACGCGCACATTAAACCCGTGGTTTGGAAGCCCAGGGTACCGTGGCGGGGGTCTGTGTGGCATGACAAGTATATGTTTGTGCCAGGGGTGCCAACATGGGAGCTTCCGAAAATCCCCCCAAATAAGGTACCCCTAAGTTTCAGAAACTCCCACACAATGTTCCTTGCGAGCTTTTCGACAGGTGGCAGACTCGCCTGCGCTGTCGGATGGCAGAACTTGGCAGAAGTCCTCAGCGCAAGCCAGCAGTAACTCCCCAAACCCTGAACCTCCTGAACCTCAACTTCGAAAAAACGCCTAGAAGCCCTTGAAACCTCCGCTGAACCCTCTTCACTGAAAGTCCCCCGAAGCCTTACTCCGAAAACCCCCCCGAATCTCCCCATCGGCTGCTGCTCAGCCTCCTCCTCGTCTGCTTGGACCTTGGAAGCCTTCAGGCGCCGCCGGACCCGGACCCTATAGACCTCGCTTTGAGCAGTTGGAGGTCCTGAAGGTCTACATAGGGCTTCTACAGGTTTTGCATTCTGGGGTTCATACGTCGCGACAGAACATCAGTACTCTGGTTACCGGATTTTGGATGGGAAGATGAGAAAGCGACGGTCTGCAAGCTAGGCTTCCCCTGAGGAGGCGGCCCATGCGCAACAGCAGGCCCCAAGCGAGCAGCAGAAGCCAAGAGACAAGAGAACCTGAGGCCCCGCTGCAGATTCAAAAGCCAATATAACTTGTGACATGAGAAACTGCGAGTAGTGGGTGTCACTTTCATCAGAGTCACAGTTGGTCTTGTTGAGGAACCAACTTGCTCAAGGGCCAAGAAGCAGTCAAGCTCGCTGATTGCACCTCTTCACCGTCTCCCGCCAAAGAGCCCTGCGGTGCTTAGCAGAGTCGGGGGAAAACCAAGACCCCTGTGACGAATCTCCCTGCGAGCCTCGAGGAGGAACGGGAACTCCCTGACAGAAATTCAGGAAGAATTTGGTGGCTTCAGAAAGTGAATGGCGCATTTCTTGAAGCATTGGACTTGTTGGAATGCCAGCACACATGACGATTGCACGTGTATAAATGGTATATAGCTTTCTCAGATTCCCGTGATGATGAGGATCCTACTGTATACATCCGACCCGGATGCTCGGACCGACGTAGTTCTAACTTATACCAGTCTTCCAATTTCTGGAATCCTCTGGCGATGCAGCTAAGACCCGGGCACTGTCGAGGTCTGCGTTGTGCTGATGCTGGTGGTCTTTGCTAATCTTGGAAGGCGCTCTTATGACCAAAGACTTGCTCACTGCGCAAGCAGGAAAATTGACACGGAAACCGGGTCGGATGCGTGCTTGTGGAAGAAGTGCTGCTTGAAGATGCGTGCCTGAGCCCATGCAATCTTCAAATGTTTTCAATAGCCGCGGCTCTCTATGCTGCCGCGGGCTGCGCTGAATCCGGGCCGGATGCGTTCTTGCGGAAGAAATGCTTGACGTGGTGTGCCTGAGCCCATACAACCTTGAGATGTCTTCAACAGCCACGTCTTTCCGTGGAATGCACTGAATCCGGGCCAGATGCGTGCTTGTGACAGAAGTGCTTGAAGTGGTGTGCCCGAGCCCATACAACCTTCCAACGTGTTCAATAGCCACGGTTCTTTTTGCTGCCGCGGACTGCGCTGAATCCGGGCCGGATGCGTGCTTTTGGAAGAAGTGCTGCTTGAAGTGGTGTGCCTGACAATCTCCAACTGCTTTAAATAGCCAGGGTTCTCTTGCTTCCACGGGCTGCGCTAATCCGGGCCGGATGCGTGCTTGCGGAAGAAGTGCTGCTTGAAGTTGTGTGCCTGAGCCCATACAACCTTGAATTGTCTTCAACCACCACGGTTCTCTGTGCTGTCGCGGGCTGTGGCTGAATCCAGGCCGGATGCATGCTTGTGGAAGAAGTGCTTGAAGTTGTGTGCCTGAGCCCATGCTATCTTCAAAATGTTTTCAATAGCCACGGTTCTTCTTGGCGTGGAGAATATTTCTGTGTGTTTGCTTTTGTTTTGTTGTTCTTTTTTTTGTGGTGGTGGCGGCGGCGTGGGTTCTCTGTGTTTCCACAGGATCACTGTATTCTAATATCAACAACATCAATTTTCGGTGGGTCACTTACTGCAGCCACCGAAAGCCGGGGTCACTTAGCCACTCCGAGTCCGCACCGTGTTGGGCGACCTAGCAAGTAAGTTTAGGTGTCACTTGGCCACCGAATTCAACTTTCGGCACTCACACTCGGACAATCCAGGCGAGGCAGGGTTCGGGCTGTACGCTTCAAGCTTCCTCGGATTCATCCTATATCTTAAACACACCCCTTCATTTGGCGATTCCGCTTCCTCATGTATGTTAAACCTCATTTGGCGAACCCGGTTCATCATATATCTTAAAAAAACGCCCTTTCATTTGGCGATCCCGGCCACCGGATTCAACTTTTTTTCAGGCTTTAAGATTCAAACCTCCTCGGACTCATCCTAGACCTTAAACACGCCCCTGGCGATCCCGGATTCATCACATATCTTAAACACGCCCCTCATTTGGCGATTCCAGTTCATCATACATCTTAAACCCCCCCCCGCTCATTGGCGACTCTGGTGCATGTGGCGATTCCGGTTCATCATTTATCTTGACATGCCCCCAGTTTCGCGATTGGGATTACTCATTACTCGTATATCTTTCAATATATTTTAAACACGCCCCCTCATTTGGCGACTCCGGTTCATAATACATCTTAAATGCGCCCCATCATTTGGCGATTCCGGCTCCTCATACCCCTCGCTCAGCGATGCCGGCTCATGCTACAACTTAAACACGCCCCGTCGTCGTAGGCGATTCCGGTTCATAAACGCGCCCCCTCGTTTGGCGGTTCCGGTTCGTCATATATCTTGAACATGCCCCCTCATTTGGCGGTTCCGGTCACCGGATTGATTATTTTCCCTCTCGCTTTGCTGTGGAGTCTATGCCCGGATTCATTTAGGGTTAAGGCTGTAAGTTTCAATCCTCCTCGGACTCATTCTACATTTTAAACATGCCTCTTCATTTGGCGATCCCGGATTCATCACTTTTCTCAAACACACCCTTCCCCCCATTGGCGACTCTGGTGTGTGTGTGTGTGTGGCGATTCCGGTTCATCATATATCTTCAACACGCCCCCTTCATGTGGCGATTCAGGTTCATAGTATATTTTAAACACGCCCCCTCATTTGGCGACTCCGGTTCATAATACATCTTAACTGCGCCCCATCATTTGGCGATTCCGGCTCCTCATACGTCTCAACAACGCCCCCTCTTTCAGCGATGTCGGCTCATGCTATAAACTTAAACACGCCCCGTCGTAGGTGATTCCGGTTCATAAACGCGACCCCTCGTTTGGCGGTTCCGGTTCGTCATATATCTTGAACATGCCCCCTCATTTGGCGGTTCCGGTCACCGGATTGATTATTTTCCCTCTCGCTTTGCTGTGGAGTCTATGCCCGGATTCATTTAGGGTTAAGGCTGTAAGTTTCAAACCTCCTCGAACTCGTTGTACATTTTAAACACGCCTCTTCATTTGGCGATCCCGGATTCATCACTTTTCTCAAACACACCCTTCCCCCCATTGGCGACTCTGGTGCGTGTGGCGATTCCGGTTCATCATGTATCTTGACATGCTCCCGTCATTTCGCGATTTGGGATTGATCATGTATCTTAAACACGCCCCCTCATTTGGCGATTCCGGCTCATGATAGCCTAAACACACCCGCTCATTTGGCGACGTCGGTTCATGATCGCTTAAACACGCCCCTTCATTTGGCGATCCCGGTTGATAGTGCATTTTAAACTCGCCCCCCTATAGGCACACGCCGCCCTCTTTTGGCGATTCCGGTTCATCACATTTCTTAAAACATGCCATCCACAGGCGATATCGGTTCATCATAATCATATCTTGAACACACCATTTCGCGACTCCGGTTACTCGCAAACAGAATGCTGGCATGAACAAAGCGGAGCAGCCGCCCCCCCCTTCCCATTTGCAAACAAAGGCTCGCATGATGGGTGTCAAATAGACTCGTTTGAAGCAAGCTTGCGCGGCTCAAAAAAGCGCAGGGGTTGGCGGTAAATTAAGGGTTAAATTGCTATGGAAACACAGAGAACTCACACCCCCCGCCGGCACCACCAAAAAACTAAACGAGAAACATAAAATTGTGTCCTCTTCTTTTTGCTGCTGTGGACTTCGCTGGATGCGGGCCCGATGCGTGCTTGTGGAAGAAGTGCTGCTTGAAGACGCACGCCTGAGCCTATGCAATCTTCAACATGTTTGCAATAGCCACGTTTTCCGTGGACTGAACTGAATCCGGGCCCGATGCGTGCTTGTGGAAGAAGTGCTGCTTGAAGTTGTTGTGTGCCTGAGACCATACAACCTTGACATGTCTTCAATAGCCACGGTTCTCTTTGCTGCCGTGGGCTGTGCTGAATCCGGGCCGGATGCGTGCTTGTGGAAGAAGTGCTTGAAGTTGTACTCCTGAGCGCAGACAATCTCCATATGTTTTCAATGGCCGCGGTTCTGTTGCTGCTGTGGATGCGCTGACTCCGGGCCAGATGCGTGCTCGTGGAAGAAGTGCTTGAAGTGGTGTGTCTGAGCCCGTGCAATCTTCAAAATGTTTTCAATAGCAACGTTTTCCGTGGACTGCAATGAATCCGGGCCGGATGCGTGCTTGTGGAAGAAGTACTGCTTGAAGTTGTGTGCCTGAGCCCATGCAACCTTGAAATGTCTTCAATAGCCACGGTTCTCTTTGCTGCCGCGGGCTGTGCTGAATCCGGGCCGGATGCCTGCTTGTGGAAGAAGTGCTGCTTGAAGACGCACGCCTGAGCCCATGCAATCTTCAAAATGTTTTCAATAGCCACGGTTCTCTTTGCTGCCGCGGTGGACTGCACTGAATCCGGGCCGGATGCGTGCTTGTGGAAGAAGTGCTTGAAGTTGTGCGCCTGAGCGGATACAATCTCCATATGGATTCAATGGCCGCGGTTCTGTTGCCGCTGACTCCAGGCCAGATGCCTGCTCGTGGAAGAAGTGCTTGAAGTGGTGTGCCTGAGCACATGCAATCTTCAAAATGTTTGCCATAGCAACGTTTTCCGTGGACTGCACTGAATCCGGGCCCGATGCGTGCTTGTGGAAGAAGTGCTGCTTGAAGTTGTTGTGTGCCTGAGACCATACAACCTTGACATGTCTTCAAAAGCCACGGTTCTCTTTGCTGCCGTGGGCTGTGCTGAATCCGGGCCGGATGCGTGCTTGTGGAAGAAGTACTGCTTGAAGTTGTGTGCCTGAGCCCATGCAACCTTGAAATGTCTTCAATAGCCACGGTTCTCTTTGCTGCCGCGGGCTGTGCTGAATCCGGGCCGGATGCCTGCTTGTGGAAGAAGTGCTGCTTGAAGACGCACGCCTGAGCCCATGCAATCTTCAAAATGTTTTCAATAGCCACGGTTCTCTTTGCTGCCGTGGTGGACTGCACTGAATCCGGGCCGGATGCGTGCTTGTGGAAGAAGTGCTTGAAGTTGTGGAAGAAGCGCTTGAAGTGGTGTGCCTGAGCACATGCAATCTTGAAAATGTTTGCCATAGCAACGTTTTCCGTGGACTGCAATGAATCCGGGCCGGATGCGTGCTTGTGGAAGAAGTACTGCTTGAAGTTGTGTGCCTGAGCCCATGCAACCTTGAAATGTCTTCAATAGCCACGGTTCTCTTTGCTGCCGCGGGCTGTGCTGAATCTGGCCCGGATGCGTGCTTGTGGAAGACGTGCTGCGTGAAGTTGTGTGCCTGAGCCCATGCAATGTCCAAAATGTTTTCAACAGCCACGGTTCTCGCTTCTGGCTATGAAGCTCTGAACATCTCTGCCTGGACACTCAGCAAGAAAACTAGATCCTGGTGTTATAAGACACGTTTTTTCTCACTCCGGGCCACGGTTTCCCGGGCCGTGTCTCGTCAGGGTTGCACGAACACATGCGCATCTGCGCGGATCTGCGAGCAATCGTTGAATGACTGCAGGAAGTAGATCGCCCAAACAAGGGGAAAAAACCCAGAGGCCTTTGTCAGGCGCCGGTCGTCAAATCTTTTCAGCCACGCTTCTGCTTTCACTTCCGGCATGGACTGATTGATGATTTCTGCCCATTGCGCTTCATTGGCATTCTTGGATTCTCATTCTCATCTTTTGGATGCCTTGATCTTCTGGTGACAGTGTCATGTGATACAAGGGTGAACTCGGCGAAGTTCACAAGGCTTTTGGGTCTAAACCTAAGGCTTCAACCTCTATGTAGAGTTGTTTGGTTTACAAGCGATTCCGCAAACATGGATCCTCTTTAATACCACGCCCAGACTAAATCTAGGAGCCTCTGGGTCAGAGCACCAAGACATGTCTGCACGGCGGTTGAACCCGTCAGTAGCTCACACAAGGTCAGGCCTGATGAGGCAGTGCTGAGGTGCTGGCAAACTGGTGGTGGTGGCGGCGGAAGCTGTCGTGGTTGTGGTGGAGCTCTGCATCTGCGATCCGACATGTTCTTGGGTGCTTGGGCGCGCTCCCAGAAGGCCAGCATGCCTCGGGACCGAAGTACCACAGGTCGTTCGTTCGGACCGTGCTGCCCGCAGTCCCGTCCGCACGGCCTGGCGAAGCGAAAACCCACAAACGCACACGGCAACCAGCTCTGCCTCTGTTGCTCTCCGCGACCTCCGAAGAGCCAAAAGCGGCCGGAAGCATCCATGGCCGAGGAATGGGCGAATCGTGCAGGAGGCCAAAGGCCTGGGCTGTCAGCCTGTATCCAGGCCTCGCCGGCGAAACGAAGCCAGAGCCATGTGAACAACACATGTCTCGAACGTCATGAGCCTGCCTCCGCAAAGTACCACAGATCGTCGAGCGGTTCGCCATTGATAGCGAAGCCTCACAAACTGGATAGTTGAGAAGCTGCAGGAGCCCGACTGACGCACGGTTTGTGCAGGGCCTCCGAAAAGCCAGAAACGCCCTGCAGCATCCATGGCGGCACTGCACCCGGCTCGTCCGGACGGTCCGGAGCCGCCATCATCTACCAGGGTCCAATTTGCCTGCAAAATTCCCTCGAAATTTCCGACGGGACGGTCCCAGCACAGCCAGATCCTGCCTCGACAGTGAAGTGCCAGAGGTCATTGTGAAACTCCTCGCCCCGAAATCCTCTCGACAGGACAACTTCGCTTCGCTTCGCGGGAGCGACGGACGGGAGCGACCTCCAAAGATCCAGAAACGCCCCGAGGAGTCCGCCGCTGCAGCGCCTGTCTGCCGGGCCGAGGGCCAAGGCCCCAGAGAAGAGCTCTTGGAGCCGAGGCTCCTCCACTCGACCTGAGAAGAGCGCCGCCGTTTACCGGACGTGGCAAGAGACAACCCGTTACGGCCCTTCTACGGCTTTTTGTCTTCTTTTGGAGCTCTCCTTTTGCCTCCGCTTCGTCTCGACCTAGAGAGTCCTCCTTGAGGAAGGAGAGTTTTAAGACACTCACACTCGGACAAAGCCTGGCAAGGTCTGCAGCGATACTAGTCTGATGTCGTTGACTGGCACAGTACTAGGGTTTCAGCACTCACACTCGGACAGTACTACGGGTTTAGGGGAACAGGTTGCGCATTCCATCACACAGTGAGTGCAGCAGTGGAGAGGCAAGGAAAAACAAGCTGTGTATGTGCTTTGCCAAAGCGGGGTTTGCACTGTTGCTGAGCTCTTGGCATCTGGAGTGAAGTACCAGAGGTCATCCAGAAAGCCCGATGCCGAGCTTTGCCCTGATCCATGAAATCTATATACACCTATGTATTGTATATTATCAATCTATTATACTCGATATTAGTCTATTATTTACTCCAGTTGCCCTTCTTTGATCACCCTACCCCGGCCTGCGAAGACCCAGAAGCGGTTCAGGGCCATGGCCGAGAAGTGGGCGCGACGCGGCGAGGGCTCGGACCCTCCAAGGGCCGCCACCTGGGACCATGCCTGTCTTTCGGGGTTGATTCTGTCTGCCTGGGAGATTCCAAAAAGCGGACATGCTCTAGGTTCCTGTCAAAGCAAGCCTGGTCCTCGAAGTACCAAAGGTCCCCGAAGTCGGAGGACCCACGCCCTGAGACCGCCAAGGCTACCATTCCGAGATGCTCTGTTCGCGAAACAAAAATGACGCACGGTCAGTCTTGCGTCTTTCTGGCCTCCGAAGATCCACAGTCGGCCTTCGTCTGCAGCGGCAGAGTGCAGATGCCGCGCGGCGGGCCCGGAGCCCTCATCCACCAGCGTCCAGGCTGCCTGAGCAGCGCTTTTTTCAGAAGACTCCTCTGGCTCGGTCTCCCGCCTCAGGCGTGTAGTGCCAGAGGTCTCTCTTGTTCCCCCCCGACTGATCCAGTCCTCCCACCACGTACATCAAGGAGAGTTTTCAAGCATTCAAGGCTGACGTCATGATGCTGTGGGCGCCTCCGAAAACCCAGAACCGGCCGCCCTCCGAAGCAGCCGCTTGGCTGCTCCGCCCGTTTGGGCCGGATCCCGATCCATCGGCCTGGAACCACGCAACCTGGAGTCAGGATAGCTTGGGGCTCGGGACGACTGGCAAGACTAGGGAGACGGCAACAGCGGTCTTTGTAGTAGTTGACCTTGGAGCTTCTCAATGCCGGCATAAGCAGATGTAAATCTACTTGTCGCTTCGGCTGGGATGCTCGCTGCGAGCAGTCAGAATGACTTTGGATCGGGTGGACTTCGTATTTGTTGTACATTTTATGCGTTGTTTTGCTCTGTTTCTGTCGCTTATCCTGGGGACATCTCTATCTCAATTGTTAGAAAATCTACTCTTGTCCTTGTTTCTCGTGGTTTCCAGGACTCTTTCAATGGGCATTAGCAGGCTTTGTAGAGTTTTCATCCCACATCCACAAAACAATAGAACCCTTTTAGAACCACTTGTTGTAGAAACTCTTGCAGAACCCTTGAAAGAACCCTTAGAGGAACCCTAACCCAAAACCCTTCAAGGCACCCTTAAGTTATTAAAGGAACCCGAAAGCTAAAATGTATGCATGCATATCTCATATCCAGATTTGAATCAGTTACCTGAGTGTTGGACGTAGGGAGTTTGCGACTTACCGAACCATATAAATATGGGGAATGCAGTCTGAATCCATAACTCGCGACGGGCACGAACAACTCGGGCCTGTAGTGTGTTGTTTTCTGTATCTTTTGTGTATTACATTATTTTATATCGTATTACATGTTTCATATCCATAGGTATTATGACACAGAAAACTTCGAACAAACTAGGCCATCTGTTTAAACATAGTTATCGGACAAAGTCTTTGGAACGAACGAGCTTGCTGTCGTCTAGTGCAAGGTAGTGGCAAGGAAGCGGTGGAGCTGGAGGTCGTGGTGGTCCTGAGCAATGCAAGGTTGAAGACAAAGCGAGAAGATTCAGCTGTTGAGGCGTTGGCTGACTGGTGGTAGTGGTGGTCGAGCTCTGGATCTGTGATGTAAGCCACCGTGATTTTCGGGAAAGTTGTTGCTTCGGAAGGGCCACCGCGCGCCTCGGGACCGAAGTACCACAAGTCGTTCATTGTGCAGCAGGAGCCGAAGGTCCCGTTGTAGCCTGGCGAGGCTAGTCCAACCCCGCAGAAAAGTGTTATACTTCACTAGTGTGCTGCTGGCTCTGCAAAGAGCTTGAAATTGAAAGTACGAGTGACTTGGCAAAAGGGAAGGGGGCCTCCGAAGAGCCAAAAGCGGCCGGAGGAGTCCATGACCGAAGAATGCACGAATCGCGGAGGAGGCCAGAGGCCAGGGCTGTCAGCCTGCATCCAGGCCTCGCCGGAGACACTGAAGAAGACGGCGCGGAGACGTTCCCTGCCTGCCTCTGCAAAGTACCAGAGATCGTCGAGCATCGCGGCATAATTATGACCTGTTCACATAGATGAGATGAGAGCTCGACTGCCGCGACGGCTGCACCGCTTCGCCTCCGAAGAGCCAGAGGCGACCTACTGCGTCCATGGCGGAACTGCAGCCGGCTCGCACGGAGGGTGCCGAGCCGGAGCCAGCATCCGCCAGAGTCCAGCCTGCCTGCTTGGAGACTTCGCTTTTGAGATCGGGGGTCCCAGTGCAGTCTCAGCTCCACCTCGACCGTGAAGTGCCACAGATCATTGCTCATGAAGGGCGCGTTGAACGGCGCATTCTCACCTGTGACCGGCTGTAAGAACAGCCTCTGCCAGAGGGAGTGCATGTTGGCCTTGGCCGCCGACCTCCAAAAATCCAGAACCGCCCGGAAGAGTCCGCTTCTGCGGCACCGGCTTGGCGCGCCGACGGCCAGGTCCCCGAACCAGATGGGAGGCTCGTCCAGCCCACCTCAAAACAACGAAAGGGCGCTTATAGAGCTCTTGGCCGAGTGCCTGCCACAAGTTATGTTGGACGCCCCTAGTGATCCGACAGCCCTGCTCCGTACTGAACATGGACACGCACCCACAACTACAGGAATCCCAATAATGGGCACTTACAGACCATAAAGGCAATTAAACAAGCAAACATGGTTCCTCCTCGCCGTGTATTACCTTGCATCTACGAACACGCACTGCGACTGGCCTTTGAAACGAGCGCTTTGCAATCAGGAGGGCTCGGTAAGGGCACCGGCAAACGGTTGGATTCTTTGGGGTCGGGCGGCGAGGCTCGTGGGACTTTGATCACCTTGATTCGGAAAGCTTTGCTGCACCGTCGTCCAGAGACACTGCATGCCCCGATGCATAAACATAAACTCTTAACCCTAAACTCAGTCAGCCCTACTGAACGGGTGCTTCCATCGCCCGTCAAGACCGCGGTGACGGCAAATCCCGCGGTAGCCTAAACCACAAAGCTCAGAACTCCATGAGCCGTGGGCATCTGGAGTGAAGTACCAGAGGTCATTGAGGCCATCGACACGGAAGTCGTTCCCTGCCGCACTAGGAACCCTGCGAACTCGGTGCCTTCAATTCAACGGAGTGCCTCCGAAGATCCAGAAGCGGTTCAGCGCCATGGCCGAGACGTGGCCAAACCGTGGGGACGGCGACCCCGCCTCCGCCACCTCTGTCCAGGCCTGGCTTATCGAAGATCCTCCCCAGTCGCGATAGTGACTGATGCAGCCTGGTCTTGGATATACCACAAGTCCCCAAAGACGGAGAAGGTTCCCTGCTGATAACCTGAAGAATTCGAAGCGAAGTCGCCAGCACGAGACGCACTGGCTGGGCCTCCGAAGATCCAGAGGCGCCCATCGGCCGCGGCAGCGGAGTGCAACCAGCGCGCTGAGGGTCCGGAGCCCTGATCCACCAGCGTCCAGGCATCCTGACCAGCAGCTGTCCCTTGCGCTTCCATCGCTCGTCTTTCCCGGTCTCCCGCCGACTCCCGCCTCAACCGTGTAATGCCAGAGGTCACTCTTGTCCCTGCCCGAATGGTCAGTTCCTGGCACAAATCTTGGATTCGGACTAGCAGCAAAGCAGGCTGGCATTCTGGGTGCCTCCGAAAACCCAGAACCGGCCGCCCTCCATGGCAGACGCATGGCTGTAGCGCTCAGAAGGACCCGATCCGGATTCGACCTGGAACCATGCAGCCTGGCAGCTTGGATTCGCGACAGAAAGACAAGACTGCAAGCCAACCGGGGAAACGGCAGCGTCCACCCAAGTCGTGCTTGACCTCGTTGCCCAGGCGGAGGCAAACAGCAGCTCAAGGTTGCTCAAGGAAGGACATTGTCTGCTTTCATGCTGGGGTCGTCGGGACAGCACATAAATCACTCATCTTCAAGCGATACGCGACATGGACTGCTGCAATGGACTGTGACTGTGCTGAAGCCAGACGGAAGCAAGCCGTGACAAAGGAGACCTTGGAGGTGCAGGCTTTGTTCCAACCGAGCTGGATGCGAAGTTGTGGGCGTAGCTGTGGTGGTTGTAGACCTGAGTCTACAGTGATCCCAGCTCAAGATCTTCTCAATGGTCTCAACAGAGGACACCTCGCTTGCCGGGTAAGGTGGCGACATGGAAGCGGTGGAGCTGGAGGTCGCGGTGGTCCTGAGCAATGCAAGGTTGAAGACAAAGCGAGAAGATTCAGCTGTTGAGGCGTTGGCTGACTGGTGGTAGTGGTGGTCGAGCTCTGGATCTGTGATGTAAGCCACCGTGATTTTCGGAAAGTTGTTGCTTCGGAAGGGCCACCGCGCGCCTCGGGACCGAAGTACCACAAGTCGTTCATTGTGCAGCAGGAGCCGAAGGTCCCGTTGTAGCCTGGCGAGGCTAGTCCAACCCCGCAGAAAAAGTGTTATACTTCACTAGTGTGCTGCTGGCTCTGCAAAGAGCTTGAAATTGAAAGTACGAGTGACTTGGCATTTGGGAAGGGGGCCTCCGAAGAGCCAAAAGCGGCCGGAGGTGTCCGTGGCCGAAGAATGCACGAATCGCGGAGGAGGCCAGAGGCCAGGGCTGTCAGCCTGCATCCAGGCCTCGCCGGAGACACTGAAGAAGACGGCGCGGAGACGTTCCCTGCCTGCCTCTGCAAAGTACCAGAGATCGTCGAGCATCGCGGCATAATTATGACCTGTTCACATAGATGAGATGAGAGCTCGACTGCCGCGACGGCTGCACCGCTTCGCCTCCGAAGAGCCAGAGGCGACCTACTGCGTCCATGGCGGAACTGCAGCCGGCTCGCACGGAGGGTGCCGAGCCGGAGCCAGCATCCGCCAGAGTCCAGCCTGCCTGCTTGGAGACTTCGCTTTTGAGATCGGGGGTCCCAGTGCAGTCTCAGCTCCACCTCGACCGTGAAGTGCCACAGATCATTGCTCATGAAGGGCGCGTTGAACGGCGCATTCTCACCTGTGACCGGCTGTAAGAACAGCCTCTGCCAGAGGGAGTGCATGTTGGCCTTGGCCGCCGACCTCCAAAAATCCAGAACCGCCCGGAAGAGTCCGCTTCTGCGGCACCGGCTTGGCGCGCCGACGGCCAGGTCCCCGAACCAGATGGGAGGCTCGTCCAGCCCACCTCAAAACAACGAAAGGGCGCTTAGAGCTCTTGGCCGAGTGCCTGCCACAAGTTATGTTGGACGCCCCTAATAAGTCTGACAGTCCTGCTCCGTACTGAACATGGACACGCACCCACAACTACAGAAATCCCAATAATGGGCACTTACAGACCATAAAGGCAATCAAACAAGCAAACATGGTTCCTCCTTGCCGTGTGTACCTTGCATCTACGAACAGGCACTGCGACTGGCCTTTGAAACGAGCGTTTTGCAATCAGGAGGGCTCGGTAAGGGCACCGGCAAACGGTTGGATTCTTTGGGGTCGGGCGGCGAGGCTCGTGGGACTTTGATCACCTTGATTCGGAAAGCTTTGCCGCACCGTCGTCCAGAGACACTGCATGCCCCGATGCATAAACTCTTAACCCTAAACTCAGTCAGCCCTACTGAACGGGTGCTTCCATCGCCCGTCAAGACCGCGGTGACCGCAAATCCCGCGGTAGCCTAAACCACAAAGCTCAGAACTCCATGAGCCGTGGGCATCTGGAGTGAAGTACCAGAGGTCATTGAGGCCATCGACACGGAAGTCGTTCCCTGCCGCACTAGGAACCCTGCGAACTCGGTGCCTTCAATTCAACGGAGTGCCTCCGAAGATCCAGAAGCGGTTCAGCGCCATGGCCGAGACGTGGCCAAACCGTGGGGACGGCGACCCCGCCTCCGCCACCTCTGTCCAGGCCTGGCTTATCGAAGATCCTCCCCAGTCGCGATAGTGACTGATGCAGCCTGGTCTTGGAAATACCACAAGTCCCCAAAGACGGAGAAGGTTCCCTGCTGATAACCTGAAGAATTCGAAGCGAAGTCGCCAGCACGAGACGCACTGGCTGGGCCTCCGAAGATCCAGAGGCGCCCATCGGCCGCGGCAGCGGAGTGCAACCAGCGCGCTGAGGGTCCGGAGCCCTGATCCACCAGCGTCCAGGCATCCTGACCAGCAGCTGTCCCTTGCGCTTCCATCGCTCGTCTTTCCCGGTCTCCCGCCGACTCCCGCCTCAACCGTGTAATGCCAGAGGTCACTCTTGTCCCTGCCCGAATGGTCAGTTCCTGGCACAAATCTTGGATTCGGACTAGCAGCAAAGCAGGCTGGCATTCTGGGTGCCTCCGAAAACCCAGAACCGGCCGCCCTCCATGGCAGACGCATGGCTGTAGCGCTCAGAAGGACCCGATCCGGATTCGACCTGGAACCATGCAGCCTGGCAGCTTGGATTCGCGACAGAAAGACAAGACTGCAAGCCAACCGGGGAAACGGCAGCGTCCACGCAAGTCGTGCTCGACCTCTGCTCAAAGTTGCTTGGTTGGGGCTCTTTGGGTGAATTATGCCAGCAGGTGCTTCTCTGCCACTGGCGTGCACGAGTACAATCGGCATGACTTTGAATCACTGTTCGTGAACATGTCAATGTCACCTCCCACTCTCTGCACCGCAGCTACAACTGCTGGGGAGCTGGCAGACTGGTAGTTATTGTCGTGGAGCTCTGAATCTGTGATGTGAGCCACCGTGATTTTCGGGAACGTTGTTGCTCTCTGAAAGGCCACAGCGCCTCGGCACTGAAGCACCACAAGTCGTTCATCGTGCAGCAGGTGCCGAAGGTGGTCCCGTTGTAGCCTGGGACGACAAAACCGAAGCCCAAACAACTCGACATTGCGTTTGTTGTTCTTCCGGCCTCCAAAAAGCCAAAAGCGGCCGGAGGCGTCCATGGCCGAGGAATGCAAAGTCCGTGGAGCAGGCCAGGCCCAAGCAGGCCAAGCACTGCTGTCAGCCCGCACCCAGACGGCCTCGCGAAGCAGAGGTGCCACCGTTCCGAGATTCTGTGGAAGAGTCAGAATGGCTCTCTGCGTGCCTCCGCAAAGTACCAGAGATCGTCGAAAAACGTGGCATCATCATAGCCTGAATGCAGCGCATGATGGCATGATGAGGCTGCAGCACTATGTAGATCTGACGGCTGTATTGCTTGGCCTCCGAAGAGCCAGAAGCGTCCTGCTGCGTCCATGGCGGAACTGCAGCCTTCTCGCGGGGAGGGTGCCAAGCCGGAGCCAGCATCCGCCAGAGTCCAGCCCGCCTGCTTTGAGACATCCGAGCGGTCCGGTCTTTAGGGTACACGCCTAGTGGCCTCGCCTCGACCATGAAGTGCCACAGGTCATTCATGTGATGAAGGCTGGCATTCACTCCTGGTTTAGACAACTCCGCTCGAAAAGATGTCTGCGCCGCCTTTTCGTCTTTTTTGCCACGGCCTCCAAAGACCCAAAACCGCCCGGAAGAGTCTGCTTCCGCAGCACCGGCTTGGCGCGCCGACGGCCAGGTCCCCGAACCAGATGGGAGGCTCGTCCACCCCACCTGAGAAAGGCGCTCTCTGAAAACGCTGCACACTCACACCACGGAAACATTCCAGAATGCAGCACACTTTACGGTGGCTGCAAAAACTCGTTGCTGTACAAGACAAACGGGACTGTGACTCGGCTCTCGGCATCCGGAGTGAAGTACCAGAGGTCGCTGAGGCGTTCCCAAGTACCATCTCTTCCTGCGCTCTTGGCTTCGCAAGCGAGGCCACTTCCGCGCAGCACTTCCGAGGCACTGTGCTCGGAAACCGTCCTCCTCCGAAGAGCCACAGGCGGTTTGGAAGGGCCATGGCTGAGTAATGGTTGAAGCGCGGGGAGGGCGACCCCGCCGATCCCGCATCCACTTGCACCCAGGCCTGCACATTGTCGCACGTTGCACCGCTGTCGCAGAAAAAGTCTCGTCAGACTCTGCTGCCCCGCCGTGCCTCGCCCTCAAAGTACCAAAGGTCGCCCAGGACAAGGCTTGTCGAGAACTGAAGACCTGCCCAACAAGTGCTGCAAAGCTTGCGTGGGCCACTTGAGACTTCCAGGAAACTTCCACCATCGCGAGATGCACGACAGCAGGACTTCAATCGCCCCACTCTCTCTCTGCCTCCGAAAATCCAGAGGCGCCCATCGGCCGCCGCAGCGGAGTGCAACGAACGCGCAGACGGCCCGGAGCCCTGATCCACCAGCGTCCATCCGGCCTGACCAGCGGCCGTCCTTTGTGCTTCCGTGCCTCCTTTCCCGGCCTCCCGCCTCGACCGCGTAGTGCCAGAGGTCACTCTTGTCCCTGCCCTCGTAATCAGCTCCTCCGACATGATCAAAACAGATCAGCACTGAAAACACGGCTACCCACCCGACCCGGCCTCCGAAAACCCAGAATCGGCCGCCCTCCATGGCAGACGCGTGGCTGGACCGCTCAGGCGGCCCAGATCCGGAATCGGCCAAGAGCCACCCAACCTGCAGCTGCGACAGTTGAGCAGCCGACTGCCGACTCGGATAACGGATATCTCAGCTTGGGGAGCGGCAGGTATCGACGCGTTTGACCTCGGATTCCAAGTGTAAGAGCTCCTTGGGTCAAAGGACTAGGAGACGTCCTTCTGGACATGTCTTGAGATCTGAGAGCCGGGGCACGGTCTGTCCGACTCTGGAAGTTGTGTTACTGCATGCGTCGATGTCCGCTATGGGCAGCGTGATGTCTCCAGTGTCCGTGGCACCCGCAATAATTAACACGGACCGAGATCCGATCTCGTAGTCAGAGAGATTAATGAAGTTGCTTAGTGCAAACGGCAGTTCTAAGGTGGATGTCGGATTGGTGCCCATGGAATCCTCTGCAAAAAAGATTCTCCAGGAGCTGATGTAAGTAAAGTCAGCATCGGAGGGGACCACAAACGAAAGGCCTCCATCAACGTAGCCGCAGCGAGGATCTGCATCTGCAAACACCCCGTGCTGTGCCTCCAATGGGAGGGTGGAAAAGTTCCCGCCGCGGTCATAGATCGGGATGATGGCAGAAGGGGCAAGCTCCGAAGCATATTGCCACTGTCCATCGATGATGGTGTAAACTTGCAAGTAGCGTGGTGGTGTTATGTCAGGGACATAAATAAGTGCCTGTCGGAGGGTGTCTGCAAGCGTGAAGTTGGTGTAAGTACGATCAAGAAGTCCTCCCAGGCCTGGATGCTCCAGTTCTCGTAGCCTCGAAAGATCTGGAGTCCCACCATCGACAATCCCGCCGTCAGCATTAGTCGTTATCAGGAAGCGGTAGCCATCAACATCCGTCATGTCGGACGGAGGCGTCCAACTTATGGGCCCGGCAAGACTCCCAAAAGCTGGGTTGACATCCTCAAACACAACATTGGTGACACCACGGTACGTCTGACCTGCAGCCAAAGCCATCAAACCAATGCCTGCGAAAAGCCGCATCTGATCTGGCCGTATGGCCTTAGAGTCTTGGATATGGCAGCTGCTCTAACACGATAGTTGCTTGAGGCTACAAGCCTTGGTACTTTGCACTTTCTGAAGATACCGGCACCCATGAGATGCCTGCACTACACGGAAGGCTTCTAGGTACTCATGGCTCCTACGCTTTGACACGGCAGACAGCATCACTTCGACCTCTTTTGCTTTGTCCTTCTGTTACATTTTCCTAGATCCACCACACCCCTTGAAGCCATGCGGAGATGTGCGAACGCTCACGAAGTACCAAGCAGGAGTCACGAGCGACCTGACTTGAGCTGAACCTCCCTGTGGAAAGGCACTGCGCTGACTTCACCCTTGCTGGCATTCGTCCGGAGATGCATGTGACCTGCAGTGAGGTAGCAAAACCAAATTAGATATTCCCCTTCTCCCCCCTGCAAATCTTAAAGGGTGTACTTCCGCGTGCCTGGCACGAATTTCTACGCACGGCATAATCCTAACCAGCTGTTCAGGGTCTGAGTCTAAAGTCTGTTGTTATAGGGGAAGCCGAGGTCGAAACCCCAATCAATGCGAACATCATTCAGAGTAAGGAGTAGTCCAATACTGCATACACTTTGTGATGTAAGTCATGTAGGTGTACGCTTGTGCAACGACGGGGTTCTGCATAACCTTTTACCAAGCCAAGACCCAAGACCATGAGACTGTCGGAAAGCAAGGAATCAAACAATGGGGTCCTTGGTAAAGGGACAGTCAACCTTCCGAAAACCCCTGCATCTTGAGCTCCTTTTCCGAAACCTGCAACGGAGCAATGCCGCCAAGATGTCAATCGCGGTGCTCATCTCTTTGGCTTTGTGCCCTCCCTCTCGGCAATTCAAGAAGTGTTGGGGGCGGGTGTGGGAACTGTGGGTGAAGGAAGGGCTCAAGAGGGGTTTAGGCGGTTTAGGATTGAAGGGCTGCGGGAGCTTTAGATTTTCGCGATGCCGATGCTGCACAAGGCTTTCGGCATTCAAGACTTCGGCAGGATCTGGGAATAAGCTGAGTCAAGCCAGGATTGCGATGCGCGCAAAGCTTCGGACCGTGATGGGATGGACGGCAGGGCGGTCCCAGGGGCGCATCGTGGGGGCAGGCACAGGAAGCCGCCGTTAGCCCAAGAAACCCCCCTACATTGCTTGTAAGCTTAATTAATTACGCTTGGGGCTTTGGGTGAAGCAGTGTTTTAATGAGGCCAAATTGCACCAGGAATGTGAGCCCTTCACATGTATTCAGCTCATGCCGGGGCGTCGCAATCTAGGGGAGAAACTCGAAGTAACTTAGGCTTCCCTATTCAGCTGACGGGCCTACAAGAGAAAGGCTGCAGCTCCAAAGCTCTCAAGCAAGTCCTAGCAGAGCAAGGCAGAATACACAAGGCACAAACGCAAAACCGCGACAAGCCTCGACGCAAACAGAGGCCTACTTGAACCGCGATCGAAATGTCAAAGCCGAAGGGGTCGTTTCAAGTGTGAGAGTAGCTTTCAGCCAAGACTGTTCTGGGCCCAACTTCAGGGGCTTGTGACAAGCTCCAGCTCGTGCGAGGCGTCCGCGAGCAGCGCTCTTAGCCTCTGAGCATCAAATCCCGTTGGGGTAGCGTCGTCTCGGGCCAGGGAACGGGGATCGAAGAGGTTTCTGGCAGAAGCCGACAAACCCTGAGCCCTCGGGTGCGTCAAAAATTCGGTGGTGGATGGGCAAAAACAACCCAGGGGCCCAGTGGCCCCTGGGCCCAGCTCGCCAAAGGGAGCCGAGATGGGAACAGCCGCGGACCGCGGACTCCGAGCATCTCCTGGAGACTCTCGGAAAGATCTTTGAGGAATCGAGGAGGGAAGGCTAAGCGAGGCTGGGAGGTCTCAAGGACAAGGCGGCTTTTCCGGTGTGGGGCCCAGCAGAGCCGTTGTTTCAGGCCGCGGGAGGAGGCCGCAACAAACAAGCCGACGAAGGCAAAAAATGTGATAATGAGCTCCATCCCCCCCAAAATCCGCCGCTCAGCGCCTCAAAGGCGCCCGGCCCTCATCCGGCGCAGTGGCTCAGGCCCTCAGTGGAAGAAGCCGCTTGGGCAGGAAGGCTCCGATGCAGGCCACAGAGCCAAGGCCGCAGGTCTCCCAATGCTTTCGAAAGGAGGCCACGGCGTTCTGAGAACTAAGAAAGAAAGCTCTCAACGGTTGCTTCTCGCAGTTTTCTTCACGTGGCTCAAGGTCAGAGCTGCGGGCGCTTTGGGCGCAGCTTTCGAGAGGTCTTCACGCACACGGCCATGGAAGCCTGGTTGGACAGGACCCTCAAGCGGATCTCACCACAGGGACCCCCTAAAGGTCCTAGGATCTCAAGCTGCCAAGGTGCGGCAGGGCGGCACGGACCGCAACCCTAAACCCCTAAACTAAACCCTGAACTCTGACGGGTCCTGCACGGCGACGCAGCCCCACGCGGCCCCGGCCCTGCAAGCTTCCGAGTCCTGAAGCGCGGAGCTATGCCGACAGAGACAGCCACCTCCTCGGCCCAAAGGGAAGTGCTCTCCGGTTTGACTGTGGTTTTCAAGCGGCCAGATGCAACTCAGGTGCAGGCGAAGGTGGCTGGATGGCTTAGACTTGCGGCGGCGGATGTGCATTCATGAAGCTTAACTTGGTACGCTATGCTGCGGCAGAACATGCGCGCAACCAACATCGATTGCAGCAGTGCTGAGTCCCAAGCTGCGACGAGGAAAGCAAGTCTCGGTCCAAAATCCCTTTCATTCGTTACGGGCTTTCTCTTTAAATGCGAGCCAGTGCTGACGATGTGACCATTTTGATGCAGGGCTCTACAGCTATGCCTGCGACGATGTGATCTACTTCCTGTCCCCTGTAAGTTATACTAGTTTCTAGTTGCTACGAGCTGTTTTCTGGTGTCTCCTTCGCATGCTTCTGGGTTGGACCACCACGGCTTGGCCAGCTTCTGGGTTGGACAATGGAAATTGTCTGGGGCGTGGTCTGTGGACCAAGACCAGCAAAGGAACGTCTACAAACCTGGGAGCATGGTGCCTCTGACGCTTCTCACCCCAGTCGCTTTGCACAGGTTGCTCGCATCTCTCCGGCAAGAGCAGGAGGAACAGTTCACCCAGGCCCGGCGAGGTGCATAGCTTAACGAGCCTTGGTCCAGACCGCGAGTTTCAACCGGCCGCGTGGTTTCAACTGCACATGGCCAGTCTCCCCTGTGCGAACCATGCATGCAGAGCATGCCCGTCTCCTTTGGCCAGCAAGCGCTCGGTTCGCGGGGCAAACTCGAAGTTCGCCTTCGTGCCGATCGTCTCGTTCGTGCTTAGAAACATAGCCTGGCAACATTGGCACCTCTAAGTACGACTGAGCCGAAGCTTCGCCTGGGGTGATGCCGTCTGCGAGGTCGGAAGTGGTGGTAAGAACGGCTTGGCCTTTTCACTTTACTTCGCAACCAGGAAGACCCGGCGCGGTTTCGCTGCAAACGATCCACTGGCCTTAGACTGAGTGATGGGTTGCATGCTCCGCGGGGGGGACGGGGAGGGTAAGGACGTTCTGGTTGCGACCTGGGTTAGCAGGGACGTTTAGGAGTTTAGGGAAGTTTAGGGCCGTTTAGGGTTCAGGGAGTTTCAAGCTCAAGGATGTAGAGCTTTTCAGAGCTTTGGCCAGAGCACTATCCCCAAATGGAGTGTTGCCTGAGAGAGAAGTCAGCTCCAGGTCCAAAGACGACGGCCCAGCCGGCGGCCGCCACGGGCTCTCAATGAGCTCTCCGCTCGCTACGAGGCGAGCTCAGCGGCTGCTATAGCGGCTCGCCGCCGGCGCCCGTGCTGTTGGCCGCAGCTGCTGCGGGTGTTGCGGGCGGTTTCCTTAACGCCTACTGCCGCGAAGAGCAGAAAAGGGCCTAGTCGAAGCTTCGGCGCAGATTTCATCCGGGTGTTCAACTTGGGGGTGCGAGAAAAGAAGTCCACGGAGCACTCAGCACTCTGGTGTCCTCTTGCAGTCGGGCCAACGACGGCATGGAAACACACCATGTCGTTCTGGGCACGCCGAAACCAAGACTCAGCTGGATGTTGGCCGCCGGCGTGTTGTCATGCGAAGCACCCCCTGGTAGCCAGATGTAGCCAGAAGCATCGGCGCAAGCAACGGGCTCTGCGGCCGTGCTGTGACATGCGTGGCGCGAGCCACCGAAGAGTCAGACCGAGTGTCGTTTCAGCACAGCAAGACCAGAGCTCTCGCGGTAAGCTCTGGGGCCAGGCGTCGGCAGCACCTGCGTCAACTTAGATGAGCGGAAGCTAGTGCACCCTCTCCATTCCATTTGCCGCATGCTTTTGTGATTTACGTCGGGACGATCCAGAAGCTCTCTGCGCCGGACTCTCCTGCTAATATTCTACAAGCGACACGATGAAACTCGGAAACATCGACAGCACTGGAATGAACAGCTGTTGGAGCGAACCGAAACACGTCTTGTGAAAGGGAGCCTCACGCGATCATGCCAACACAAGATTCGGGCGTAGCCTCTTCCCGGACAATCGCGGCCTCACTCGCAGCTTCCGGGTGCAAAGCTGCAGGTTGTGCTGATGGGCGACGGCGGTCTTACCAAGCCTGTGCGGCTTTGTCCTTCCGCTCACGAACTGACCGTGCCCATGCGCGTCGCCACAATCATTCCGCAGTTGCTTGCAAGCAGCCGGGGTGCTGTGCTGGAGCTGCTGGGCAACTCGTCGCTGAAGCACTGGATGCAAAGCTCCAGGTCCAGGCAGCATGGGCCCTCAAAGTGCTCAGCCAAGTCGTGAATGCGGGCCTTGGCACCTCGCATCTCCATTGCAGAGAGGCTGTGGGAGAGCTTCCACGCCCAACGCAGGTTGGCGCTTGCTACAAGACGGGAGGGGCGACAGTGACGGGCACGGCCAAAGACTTGAGCCAAGCAGGAACGAGGAGCTTTGGATTCGAGCCAAAGCGGATGCGGAAGCTGTTCTCTAGGCGGAGCGTCACGGGCCCGGTGTCCTGATATTGTACCTGTCGAGCCAGTGACGCCGGCAAGTACGAAGGACGTGTCATGGCGCCTCGCCTGGAAACTCGTATGGCACCTCTGGATTTGAATTTGGATGTCGGCCGAGCGCATGTGGTCATGTGAAGCACTTGAAGTATCGGTGCAAAGGCGCCCTGCGACCGTGCTTTGGCAGTCTCAGCTCCGAGCAGTCAGCGTCTTCTCAGCACCGCCGCCGCGCCGCCGCGGCCCCACTGCGGCCCCACCGCGGCCCCACCGCAGCTCCGGCGGGGCAAGGCGGCAAGGCCCCGTATCGGCGTCACATCGGCACGTAGTGCAATCGGTGCATTGGCAACAGCTTTTCCCGGCTCTTCGCGATCGAAGCAGCAAAAATCCCAGGCACGACTTGGGCTCCCGAAGGATGCGGGAGACGGAAGCCCAAGGAGCAGAGGAGAGCGTCAGAGATGCTCTCACGGCTCTCACTCTCGCCGTTTACGCTAAAGCCCTGGCCCTGGCCAGTAATGAGCAACCAAATCTCAACGACTCGGAACCGCTTTCCGCCCCAGTGTCAAGGATCTCTGTGCGCTCGGATGCTGTATGGACACGTCACCAGTCACTAGTCAAGTGCTGTCCGGGTTCTTAGTCTTGGATTACACAAACTGCGAAGGCGAGGGCAACACAGTCTGTATCTGAGGCGATGCCTAGGCTTATGCAGCTGCAATTTGCCTGCAGGTTTCTCGTTTTCCCAGACCGACCTCCTTAACACCCAGGATGTGCAGATGGGTCCTGGCGGAGACGAAATAGAACTTCCCAATCCCAAAGCCCTTTCCCGTGCCACGAAAGAGCTTGCAAATCCTTGGTCTGCCTATCCTTGCCATAGACGCAGTGAAGCAGAACTGTAATGAGCACTTTCACTCGCACATCACGTCCCATTGACCAGTCCTGAGCGACATTGGCAGCTACAGCTACATGGCCTGGGCTCTAGCAGCTCTAGCAGATGGCAGCGTTGATGGGGCTCTTTGCCTCACAACTTCGTGGGGACAGTTCGACAGCTCACAGGAGATGGAAAGACGTGCAAGGACCGAGCACTTCCGTGTCCTGATCTTGTAGAGGTCGGACCAACGAGACCGACAAGGAAACTACAGCATTATGGCTCAGCGCAAATGCGCTGTAGGGCAACAGCATGCGGTCAGGCTGGACACTCCGAGCATCCCAAAAGCCCGAAAGCCTCGGCAGAGACGGGCCCTGCGACTGTGCTTTGGAACTCTCCAAAGGAGCCGATCGACTTTTTTGTCAGTGCGGGCACTCCACGCACCGAGAAGACTGAAGACCATTTGCAGCGGTCGTAGCCGATGCGCAGATCGAGAGTGTGGACGTGTCCGGTAGCGGTCCACCTCCCGTGATGTCCTCTGACTGACCGCTGCGGCGGCAGAGCCAAGGCCTTGTTTGGTGAAGCTCCCGCAGGGCCCAGGCCTTCGCTGGCGCCAGCAGCGGGAAACTAGAAACCGACTTCGGAAAGTGGCCGAAAACCTGGAAGACTTTGCCTTGTGCATGCTCACGACCTTGCTTGCAAGAAAAGCCCCGGATGGCTGCTTTTCACATTCAAGATGCATCGGTAGCACGTTGCCTGTCAACATAGTCACAGGTCAGGGCTCATCGCTTGCCAGATCCGCACCCAAGACAGCTCTCTTGCCCAAATCTTCGGATGTGCTGAGACTTGTCGTAATCTCAATCCGTCCTCGTTCTCGACGAGCAGTCGCCAAGAGAAGCAGCTGCAGCGCCACGGGCATCAACACACACACGGACGACTCGACCTACGGTGAGATGAGCATACAGCCCTACTAAATTCTCGCCGCCACCTCAAGTTTTTCGCTCTTGGGGATGTGGGCCAGCGCCCGATATTCCCTGAAGCCACACAGCAACATGCTGCCATGAAGGTCTCGTCAAGTCCAATCATCCGGAAGGAAAGAGCTCAGGCCTCTACCTACATCGGCACGGATGGTTGAACCTACATTCCTTACTACCCTGGCCGAGATGCCTGGATGCTCTAAGGCACGGCACCTCTTCTCTATTTGCCATGCTTCTGAACAGATTTTTGAATGGGTGACTTGCTCTTACTATTACAACACACCAAAATACACTTCTGTGTGAGCTAGTTATCCTTCTACTTCTAGCTCGCAAGCATCATCACCACTTCTTCCACCCACCTCAACCTGGTATTGGTGCCTGGCATCGAGCAGGCATACTTGCGAACCGTCGAGAGCCTTCTTCGTTCCGTGCTTCTTGCGCAAGGGAGCCTCAAGCAATCTTCAGCCGCAGGCCAACACAAGATTCGGGCGTAGCCTCTTCGCGGACAATCGCGGCCTCACTCGCAGCTTCCGCGTGCAAAGCTGCAGGTTGTGCTGATGGGCGACGGCGGTCTTACCAAGCCTGTGCGGCTTTGTCCTTCCGCTCACGAACTGACCGTGCACATGCACGTCGCCACAATCATTCCGCAGTTGCTTGCAAGCAGCCGGGGTGCTGTGCTGGAGCTGCTGGGCAACTCGTCGCTGAAGCACTGGATGCAAAGCTCCAGGTCCAGGCAGCATGGGCCCTCAAAGTGCTCAGCCAAGTCGTGAATGCGGGCCTTGGCACCTCGCATCTCCATTGCGGAGAGGCTGTGGGAGAGCTTCCACGCCCAACGCAGGTTGGCGCTTGCTACAAGACGGGAGGGGCGACAGTGACGGGCACGGCCAAAGACTTGAGCCAAGCAGGAACGAGGAGCTTTGGATTCGAGCCAAAGCGGATGCGGAAGCTGTTCTCAAGGCCGAGCGTCACGGGCCCGGTGTCCTGATATTGTACCTGTCGAGCCAGTGACGCCGGCAAGTACGAAGGACGTGTCATGGCGCCTCGCCTGGAAACTCGTATGGCACCTCTGGATTTGAATTTGGATGTCGGCCGAGCGCATGTGGTCATGTGAAGCACTTGAAGTATTGGTGCAAAGGCGCCCTGCGACCGTGCTTTGGCAGTCTCAGCTCCGAGCAGTCAGCGTCTTCTCAGCACCGCCGCCGCGCCGCCGCGGCCCCACTGCGGCCCCACCGCGGCCCCACCGCAGCTCCGGCGGGGCAAGGCGGCAAGGCCCCGTATCGGCGGCGGTAGATGCCCGGTAGGCCCCGTACGTATCGGCGTTATTCTGTGATGGGCCGAAGCGAACCGCTGCAGCCCGAGGCAAGGAATCGGCTCATGGTGATCTCCGAAAGGACTGGAGCTTCAAAGCGAGGAGTGCGTCGAGAGAGGCGAAAGGAAGGGAACAGGCGGAACAGGGGCTTTGGGAGGCCTGGGAGGCCCGGAACGCTAGGCAGTAAAGCCCCGACTGCAACGTGTCACTGGCGGCTCGGAACAAAAAGGCAAACTGCCGCGATCGCTGTGCGGAAGAGAGGGTTTCCGGCTTCAAGCAAGGGGCTCTCGGAGTGCCCTGAACAGAGACGCTCCCTGTGTTCCATTGCTCCAAGCTTGCAGCCATGGAGTGCTTTGAGAATCAGGCGGACAGGTGCGCAGTCAGTTGAAGGAATGTGCAGCTCTAGCACTGCTCAGTAATGTACATATCCTGCACGCATCAAGGATCATGCCCTCCCTTGGCACAAACACCCCGCAGCGGCTTCTGCATCACGTGGAAGGGTCGGTGACCTTTTTCGAACACACGAGCTGGAAACCGATGGAACTGCTGAAGCGCTGGTCTTCGCCAAACCAGTGCCTGGCCCTTACAAGGAGACCCCTATCGGTCTTGGCATCGTCACTCCTGTGTCATTAAGCATGCAACAAAGCCTTGTCTCGATACTGGATGAGACCAGGAGTCATCTCAAGTTTTGCAGCTGGGACACAAGCCGCTCAGGCGTTGAGAAGCTTTGCTGATCTGCAGCGTGGGGCCCGGTCTAGGAGTCTAGCTTCTGGGCTTTGCGGCTTTGCTGTTCGAGATCGGGCGGTCCATGCCAAGTGTTGCGTGAGCGCAGAAGCCCCGATTTCCTCTCCTATAGGACTCCCAGAAGACTGAAGACCATTTGCAGCGGTCGTAGCCGATGCGCAGATCGAGAGTGTGGACGTGTCCGGTAGCGGTCCGCCTCCCGTGATGTCCTCTGACTGACCGCTGCGGCGGCAGAGCCAAGGCCTTGTTTGGTGAAGCTCCCGCAGGGCCCAGGCCTTCGCTGGCGCCAGCAGCGGGAAACTAGAAACCGACTTCGGAAAGTGGCCGAAAACCTGGAAGACCTTGCCTTGTGCATGCTCACGACCTTGCTTGCAAGAAAAGCCCCGGATGGCTGCTTTTCACGTTCAAGATGCATCGGTAGCACGTTGCTTGTCAACATAGTCACAGGTCAGGGCTCATCGCTTGCCAGATCCGCACCCAAGACAGCTCTCTTGCCCAAATCTTCGGATGTGCTGAGACTTGTCGTAATCTCAATCCGTCCTCGCTCTCGACGAGCAGTCGCCAAGAGAAGCAGCTGTAGCGCCACGGGCATCAACACACACACGGACGACTCGACCTACGGTGAGATGAGCATACAGCCCTACTCAATTCACGCCGCAACCTCAAGTTTTTGGCTCTTGGGGATGTGGGCCAGCGCCCGATATTCCCGCCGAATGGACTAGTCCGGCGATAGCCTGACAGTAACATGCAATGAAGGTCTCGTCAAGTCCAATCATCCGGAAGGAAAGAGCACTGGCCTCCACGTACACCTGCACCTGCACGGATGGATGAACCTATATATTCCTAACTACGATTGCGATGCCTGGATCATCCTGGACTGGTGCACGGCGCATCTTCTCCACTGGCCCATGCTTCTGAAAGGGTTGCTCAGTCTTACAGCAAACCGACATCCGCCTCTGGGCGAGCCAGTTACGCTTCTGACACTAGTTCGCAAGCATCATTTCACCACTTCTTCCCCCGATCTTAACTTGGTATTGGTGCTGAGCATCCGCAAACCGTCGAGAGCCATGCTCGTTCGGTGCTTCTTGTCAAAGGGAGCCTCACGCAATCTTCAGCTGCA